AACACCCTAGCATTTACTTCCTTTACAACCCCATCTAAATATATTAAACAACCATGGTGACTTACACATCCCTGTCTAAGCCTACTTTTTACCGGGAAGTATTCCCCTCTCTTCTACACACCCTAACCTGAGCCTCACTATCCTCATAAAACTCTTTACAGATTTAGTAACTTCCCCACCTTTCCATATATTGCAACATCTGCCACATTGCTCCTCATCCACTTTCAATGCCTTTTTAAATCCATAAAGCAATAAAAACTTCCCTACCTTTATCAAAAATACTGTTCCTTATATGTTCAATGTAAAACTTGTCTACACACCCCCACCCCCTTAAACCCTCCTTGCTCTCCGCAATCCTACATTCTGTTTCCTCAAATTTCTTTAATTATAACCCTACCGTACACTTTTTCCTGGTATCTCAGTAAACTTATTCCTCTAAAATTTTTTTAAAACCCTTTTTGCCCCTTTCCCCTTTTTTTTTTTGGGTATCATGCTCTCCGCCAATCCCTGGACCTTTCCCCCCTTTTTATACATTTTTTAAACAAAAATCCAACCACTCCAAACTATATCCCCCCCTGCTTTTTTAAAATTTTTGTCAGATCCCCTCGTTCCGGGTGCTTTTTTCCCTTTCTTTTACGTAATGCCTCAGTACCTCCCACCACATTACATTTGTTTTTCACTCCTAAAAGTGGTATACCTCCCGGCCGTGCATGAAATTACCCCCTCCCTTTTTCCTTTTAAATTTAAAAATTCCTCAAAATATTTTGCCATCTACCCAATACCTCCCTTCCCATCTACTAACTCTCCTACTCTGTTTTTAACGGACAAATCCATATTTTCCCTAGGCTTTCTTAACTTGTTTAACTCACTCCAAAATTTTTTCTTATTTTCATTAAAATTTCTTGACAGTGCCTCTCCCACTCTATCATCTGCTCTCCTTTTGCACTCTCTCACCACTCTCTTACCTTTTTTTACTCTCCATATACTCTGCTCTTCTTATAACACTTCTGCTTTGTAAAAACCTCTCGTAAGCTACCTTTTCTCTTTTATCACACCCTTTACTTCATCATTCCACCAATCACTCCTCTTTCCTCCTGCTCCCACCCTCCTATAACCACAAACTTCTGCCCACATTCTAATACTGCATTTTTAAAACTATTCCAACCCTCTTCAACCCCCCCACTACTCATCTTTGCACTAGCCCACCTTTCTGCCAATAGTCGCTTATATCTCGCCCTAACTTCCTCCTCCCTTAGTTTATACACTTTCACCTCCCTCTTACTTGTTGTTGCCACCTTCCTCTTTTCCCATCTACCTCTTACTCTAACTGTAGCTACAACTAAATAATGATCCGATATATCAGTTGCCCCTCTATAAACATGTACATCCTGGAGCCTACCCATCAACCTTTTATCCACCAATACATAATCTAACAAACTACTTTCATTACGTGCTACATCATACCTTGTATTAATTATATTAATTATATTATATTAATTAATTATATTAATTATATTAATCCTGAGCTGAAGCACTTGATAGTTGCAATAGAACCCATACCTGGAGGATATTGCAGGGGTCAATGCCCCTGCAGCCTGGTTCATGACCAGGCCTCATTGTGGATCAGGGACTGATTGACCAGTCTGTTACTGCTGGCCGCATGTTAACCAATGTAGGAACCACAGCCCGGCTGGTCAGGTACTGACTTTAGGTGCTTGTCCAGTGCCTTCTTGAAGACAGCCAGGGGTCTATTGGTAATCCTCCTTATGTATGCTGGGAAGTAGTTGAACAATCTTGGGCCCCTGACACTTATTGTGTTCTCTCACTGTACTTGTGGTACCCCTGCTTTTCATTTAGGAGACGTTGTATCCTCTGCTCAGTCTTTTGCTTTCGTATCGAGTGATTTTCGTGTGCAGATTTGAAACTTGTCCCTCTAGGATTTTCCAGGTTTTTCCAGGTGTATATTATCATGTATCTTTCTCGCCCACATTCCAAGGAGTACAGGTCAAGTGATCTCAACTGTTCCCAGCAATTTAGGTGCTTTATTGTACTTACGTGTGCCGTGAAAGTTCTCTATATATTCTTCAGGTCAGCAATTTTGACTATCTTGAAAAGTACCATTAGTGTACAGCAATATTCCAGCCTAGAGAAAAAAAACTATTTGAATAGAATCGTGGGCTTGGCATCCCTAGTTTTGAAGGTTCTCATTATCCATCCAATCATTTTCCTAGCAGATGTGATAGATACATTGTTGCGATCTTTGAAAGAGAGATTCTAACATTATCACTCTCAGGTCCTTCACATTACTTTTTCACTCTATTGTGTGGTTGGAATTTGTTTTATACTCCGATAGAGTTTATTTCCTTGAATTTTCCATAACGTAGTAATTGAAATTTGTCTTCATTGAATTTCATATTGTTTTCCGAGGTCCATTTAAAGACTTGGTTAATGTCCACTTGCAAATTTGCAGTGTCTTCAATGGATAACACTGTCATGCAAATTTTGGTATCGTCAGAGAAGGACGACACGGAGCTGTGGCTTACATCTCTGTCTATGTCACATATGAGGGTGAGAAACAGAATGGGAGCGAGTACTGTGCTTTGTACATGTCATTATGGTCCGGTAGCTGGGACAGACAGGAGCGGTCTGCTCTATACCCATGTTGCCCTGGGTTGTGTAACTTTTTGTCTTCTAGTGCATCCAGGACCTTGTCATAGTGGTCCAGTAGTTGAGACAGACAGGAGCAACCTGTTCTAAACCCATGTTGCCCTTGGTTGTGTAACTTTTTGTCTTCTGTGCATCCAGACCTTGTCATATGGTCCAGTAGTGTGAGACAGACAGGAGCCTGTTCTAACCCATGTTGCCCTGGGTTGTGTAACTTGATGGGTTTCTAGATGGGTGGTGATCTTGCTTCTTAGGACCCTTTCAAAGATTTTTATGACATGGGATATTAGTGCTATCGGTCTGTAGTTCTTTGCTGTTGCTTTACTGCCCCCTTTGTGGAGTGGGGCTATGTCTGTTGTTTTTAGTGTGTGGGGGATGACCCTGTGTCCATGCTCCCTCTCCATAGAATGTTAAGATGACATGATGGGTTCTTATTGCGTTCTGAACACTAGTTCACAAGTGCTGGCCGGGCGATGCGTGGCCATGTCATTAATGTTTTTTTTTTCAAAGTTTTGTGGTGTTAGGATTATATCATAAACTTTTGAATTAACCAAATTTGAGTCTCGGTCTTAAAAAAATCTAATTTTCAACCTTAGTTAGTTATGCTACTTAACTGATCAGGAGCCTCTCACGCATCAAGGAACCTACCTTGAGGGTTTCTACCTGCTGTACGTTTAGTCAGACTTGCAATACCAGTTACTCTTGTACAAATAGTACATTACCTCTGTGACTTGTAATGTTGAGGTACAGTCCCTGGACCCATTGTGTACTTCTGTAATCCTTTGACTACCAACCACAGGATGGGTACTGGGGTGCATAATAAGATGTTTAAACTCTCGCAAAAGCAGGTCATGGGTAGGACAGGTAGACTGCAGGTAGGGTAGGACAGTAGACTGCAGGTCATGGAGTAGGACAGGTAGACCTGCTGGTCTGGTAGGACAGTAGGCTGCAGGTCCTGGGAGGCAGGTAGTACTGCAGGTACATGTTTGACAGTTAGACCTGCAGAGGGTATGGGTAGGACAGGTAGAACCTGCATGTCATGGGTTAGGACAGGTAGACCTGCAGGTCATGGGTAGGACAGGTAGACCTGCAGGTCATGGGTAGGACAGGTAGACCTGCAGGTCATGGGTAGGACAGGTAGACCTGCAGGTCATGGGTAGGGACAGGTAGACCTGCAGGTCATGGGTAGGACAGGTAGACCTGCAGGTCATGGGTAGGACAGGTAGACCTGCATGTCATGGGTAGGACAGGTAGACCTGCAGGTCATGGGTAGGACAGATAGACCTGCAGGTCATGGGTAGGACAGGTAGACCTGCAGGTCATGGGTAGGGACAGAGTAGACCTGCAGGTCATGGGTAGGACAGGTAGACCTGCAGGTCATGGGTAGGGACAGGTAGACCTGCATGTCATGGGTAGGACAGGTAGACCTGCAGGTCATGGGTAGGACAGGTAGACCTGCAGGTCATGGGTAGGACAGGTAGACCTACAGGTCATGGGTAGGACAGGCAGACCTGCAGGTCATGGGTAGGACAGGTAGACCTGCAGGTCATGGGTAGGGACAGGTAGACCTGCAGGTCATGGGTAAGACAGGTAGACCTGCATTGGCCTGGTCACTCACTCGGCCACATTTGCATAAATTTGCTTGCGAGGTTTTTAGACTTGCCTGCCATAGGTTCGAACCTCCACCCATTCCAAGGGCTGCTTGTTGTACATTCCCACGCATCAACAGATATTTCTCCACGAGCGAAACAGTGGTGAGTTCCTCGTAGTATAGACTTCACCAGGACCCCAATAGAAGCACTTCTGTTTTTGGGATTGGGGGGGGCGGGGGGGTATCCTGCAGGGCAATTTACACACGCACGTTATTATACAGAAGTATTTTAACCATTATCAAGCGCTAAACTAGTGTCATGCAGCACTCTATGCAGACTAACCAATGTGAAAAAATTAGCGAAATTCCAAGAGCCTTCGTGATTTTTTGTGAAATCGTGAAAGTGCTTGGAACATCACTATTATTTGTGATTTATTCCAAGTCCCTCGAGAGAGAAGAGCTCTTGATTCAAGGCACTGGAGTTGTTCTTCCCTCTATGGGTTGAGCCTCAGTGCCTCCCATAACCCCCCAGGTGCTACATGACCCCGTCCCTATGGGTTTAGCACTTCCCCATGAATGCAGTAACGACACAATCCAAGGAACGATGAGAAATCCAGTTTCTAGGATCAAGATCCTTCAAGGCAGAAAGTGACAGTCCTTGAAGGGGTTCTTATGGGTCAAATTATAAAAATCATAACTAAGCAGCTAAACCCACAGGGGTGGTTATGGATAGAGAAACTCTCAATACATTTGTTATTTTACTCTCACATACAGCGGTAAGAAAATAACCACACAATATCTTGTGTTCGACTTCACCGTAAACCAATCATTGCACATACAAAAAACAAATGAGAGAACACACGCAACGAGTAATAAATGCAGGAACGAGCTTCTAGAAACCGGATATCGACGAATGCGTCTCCAGGTCATCACTGGCATTCGTGTACGAAGGCTGCATTGACGCATCGACAGCCTTGCTGTCGGGAGGCCAAGGCAACGCACTCGGACTCTCCGTCTCCGCTATATAAAGTACAACAAGATTGAGCAAGTTCCGTTTACATCATGGCATGCCTTTCCAGCCAATCATACAACTCAAAAATAAATATACTAAATACTCGACTTATGAACGCATTGAGAATCTTTTGTATTGTAGATATCATTATTGTGTATATTATTACAGCATTATACACAATACAGAAGGTCCCCAAAATGTTGATAAGTTGAAGACTTCCTGTACAGAAATCAAAGGAAATACAGTAGTCCCCCCCCAGTATCCGCAGGGGATACGTATCAAGACCTACCATGGATACCTGAAACTGTGGATAGTAGCGAACCCTCTGCATAAATTATTTTTTGTTTACATACCTATGATAAAGTTCGATAATTCTCCACTCATTGTGTATAATTCATCACTTTCACTGATGGGAAGCACTTTGCAACTTCTCTTAGGCTTTGAAGAACTGTCCACCATTGCTACTTCTGTGCTTTAGGGCCATTATTAAGCAAAATTACTTTCGTGCCAGGGTAAACTATGGATAATTGAAACTGCGGAAACAATCTGCGGATAATGGGTTCTACTGTACACACTGTATAACTCAAGAATACATACATGTATTAAGAGAACTTAATTGAGAACACTCAGTGGGAGATGGCCAGTGTATTAAAAATAAATATACATAAACCAGGCGACCTGCTCAAAAATACAGCACATGTATGTAAACTTTATAACTAAAAAATAATACATAAAGTGAAATAACTTTAGAATATGTATAGAAATTCCTTTTAATGTACTGTATACCCACAAAGAAACATACAGTCAGCTTTATGAAGCTCCTCTATACAGGGCAAATTTTTGGGTAAATGAAATTCCAAAAGTCTGACCAAAACTGAATGGCACTCAGAAAGGCCTTTTATAGTCTGTAGCATTTAATTCTGGACAGCTTTTTACACTCACATCAACGAAAAAATACTATATAGTGGAACTAGAAAGGGTCAACTGTATATTTTTATGAAGTTAAAGTTTGCCTTCTACATTCACCTCGCAAAATAAACCAAATTGACTTTAAATTCAAGGATGGGAAGTTGTACAAGTTACAAGGATGGGAAGTTGTACAAGTTACAAGGATGGGAAGTTGTAGGTACAAGGATCCTGGACGTAGAAAGTATTATATAAATAGACTCAATAAATATTTCCTATATGTGTGTGTACTGTCATTATATACATGACGTTTTAAAATGTTCCTTGCTAGATCTTGTATGATAAATGACCTAGATCTGATCTCCCTATGTGATGCAAGATGCTGATATTGAAGCTACAGTGAGTTGAACTTAAATATTGTTCGTGTTGCACTGCTGTTGTGATCTGGCCTATCCGCAACTCACTTGTTGTGTTGCTGCTGATTTGAACATGCTACAGGGCTTTCAACTCAAGATATATTTTGGCTTTTAAATGGCACGAGTCGAGTTCCGTCTCCTCCGACTTGGAATAAAGTTGCAGTTCCGGCACTAACTTGCAATACAGTTGCAGTTCCTGCACTAATTTGCGACGAACAATCCACATTTTTCCAGCTTATGGGGGAAGATACAGGAGATTTTTGTGTCACATACATCCCCCACTACAGTTCAGTGACTGTAAATCTTCTACAGGGTGTTAAATACTCCATTTGTAAATGTGTGTGTAATCTTCGAATGTTTAAAAGGCCCTCCTGTTTTCATTAGTAACTGAAAGTGCAGATTCGTTCAGACGGTAAGCAGTGCACTTGCTCACATAGGCATTTAAATTTTCAGGACACTAAAGGTTCTCTTGTAAAGCTGATCTGTCGAGTCCAACTTTTGGGAATGTGGTTGAGAAATACACAAATAACCTGTGGCAGGAGAAGCTCATGACAATGTTTTGGTCTGACTTGGACCATTTACAAGTGAAACTAACATGTTATTATGAGTTTGACTTTGTAAGTGATCCAAACTGGACCAAAATGTCGATAAGCTCCTCTCTCGTATGTGCGGGTTATTTGTGTACAGTTCCAGTCACGGCATTGTGCCTTTTTTGCTCTTTTTTGGTTGAGAAAGGTGTATCTAAAATTAAACAGCAGGTGCTATGAAGGCCTTTCAAAGTGCTGTTCAATTTTGCATGTGCCTTTTCAATCGCAGTCACAAATAACTGCACTGAACAGAGGAGCTCTACAAGAGTCGACTGTAAATGATTATATCACCATATGCTTTTTACATCATTTATTTATGATTGCCACTGTCTAGAGGCCACCTTTTCTAAGTTCCGCGGGTAATCGTCCTTCGCCGAATAAGAAGAGGCAGACACGGTCAACGATGAGAGACAGGGCAAAGTCGGCCACCAGAACCTTCACCAACATGATGCGGTACTGTCAAGAAAAATTAAAAAAACACATTAATCATTATTATGATTTGCCAGGTATCATAATGACAACCTAAGTTGTGATTTAATATTGTCTGAAAAGTGAAAAGAATAACATTAATCACTTATTATTCCCCAAGTCATAATGACGACTTAATGTGCGACGTAATACAGTCCAAAAAGGCAAAAAAAAAAAAAAAAAAAATCCCCAGGCGTCATGACAACGACTAAAGTTGCATCACTACGCATGGGTAAAATCCGTAACTAGGTGAAATCGTCCATTTTTAAAATTCAACACAAATTTAATACAGATTTAAGAGTTTTCCTCCACCCTCTCCAGACTTTATCATGACTCACGAAATCGTGTGCCACATAATTGTAAACAATCCTTGGCCTACAGTGGGGTATTTGAACTTGAGCGAGTGATTAATACGCACTTAGGCCAGCGTTGTAACCACTGGCCAGCTGTTACATATAAATTCATCGAACTACGTATATTTATACAACCATAGGAATGGTTAGAATAAAACCATCACTCATGCCACGGAATGCCAGTTTTTACAGATGAATCTCCCACCAGTGTGAGTTGAAAAACTCTGAGCCAATGATCCCCTCATAGCTGTCAATCTAGACTTGTCCACAAACTAGCAAGCAAATACAGGTGCTTAAAGCTCACTAAATACCAAACTAAAAGCTCAATAAAATTACTAAAATGTCAATGCTTGCCAAACTACACGCACAAACGCACACGTTACCTCTGGTGGAAAATCCACAATCTCAAACTGCTGAGCAAATTCGGGCACGATGCCAAGGGCGAGTGTCAAGACGACGCCCCCGGAGCCAATAAGGCTGTAGAGGAGAGCTTTATTTTCCGTCAGACTCTCCATGAACGGGTGACCCTGCGAAATAAAATTAAAAATAAACATGTGACACACACAGAGACATGATGATAAACATGTCGCTTAAGCTTCGGGGCCCCTGACCGTACGCAACTGTTTTTTCCCCCCTTCCATACGCTGCCTAGCAAGATTCAACCCTAATTTTAGCAAGTCAAAGCAATCCTCTGTTTGAGTGACTCACTCGGTAATTGATGGCGAATGTGGAGATCTGTAATGTCATGGAGATGACGTACACCGTACTGTTTAACAAGCTAGGCTCAAACTCCTTCTCCAAGTCCACAAACTTCTCTCTGAAATATCAATACATGTAAATAATTATAAGAATTAATAACAGAAGTAATAACAGTTATAACAATAATAATAATAATAGTAATAATGATAGCAATGATAATAATAATGATAGCAATAATAATAGTAATAATGATAGCAATAATAATAGTAATAATGATAGCATATAATATAATATGATAGCAATAAAATAGTAATAATGTAGCAATAATAATAGTAATAATGAAGCAATAATAATAGTAATAATGATAGAATAATAATAGTAATAATGATAGCAATAATAATAGTAATAATGATAGCAATAATAATAGTAATAATGATAGCAATAATAATAGTAATAATGATAGCAATAATAAGAGTAATAATGATAGCAATAATAAGAGTAATAATGATAGCAATAATAAGAGTAATAATGATAGCAATAATAATAGTAAAAATAATAATAATAATAATAATAATAATAACACAAAGATACCATCATACAGAGGCCTAAGTTAAATTGTAGTGACTGGACGATGCAAAAAAGTTTAAACAAACACTGATACTATCAGACTTAGTTGACACACTGTCGATACCATCAAAATTTGGCTACATACTGCCAACACCATCAAAATTAGGCCACACACTGCTGATACCAATAAATTAGGCCACACACTGCCAAAACCATCAAAATTAGCTCATACCAAAACTGATCCCACCAAAAGTAGCCGATACCAAAACAGACACCATCAAATTTAGCAGAGACCACCAAACTAACTGACAGCAAAAACCATTGCCTTCGAACTTAGCCAATACCAAAACCTACACCACTGAACTTAGCCAATGCCATTAAACTTAGCCAATACAAAACCTACACTATCAGACTTAGCCAATACCAAGAACCAATGCCATCAAACTTAGCCAATACAATCAAAATTACCAACAGCCAATACCAACAGCAAGGCCGATACCCACACACCTAAATTTGTTAATATAAGAAGTGTCTTTACAAGATCTTTTGTACAGGCCATGTTTATTAATATATTTCTTAATGCACTGGTCGCCTCTCTCCAAGGCAGGACAACCCAAAGTAAAAGACACATTCACCATCATTCAGTCAATGAAGTCTGACAGAACTCTTGACAAATCAGTCAGGTGCCCATCTCAACTGTAACATTCTCACTATCCTTCAGAGTACAGGTACTGTACTTCCCACTTCCAGTACTGTAACATTCTCACTTATCCTTCAGAGTACAGGTACTGTACTTCCCACCTCCAGTACTGTAACATTCTCACTTATCCTTCCGAGTACAGTACTGTACTTCCCACCTCAGTATTAATTTACTCATCTTCTAGAGTACAGGTACTGTACTCGCCCTCTCCAGTACTGTAACATTCTCACTCATCCTTCAGAGTACAGGTACTGTACTTCCGCACTCTCTGTAACATCTCACTCATCTTCAGAGTAAGGTCTGTACTCCACTCAGTACTGTAACATTCTCACTCATCCTTCAGAGTACAGGTACTGTACTTCCCACCTCCAGTACTGTAACATTCTCACTCATCCTTCAGAGTACAGGTACTGTACTTCCCACCTCCAGTACTGTAACATTCTCACTCATCCTTCAGAGTACAGGTACTGTACTTCACCACCTCCAGTACTGTAACATTCTCACTCATCCTTCAGAGTACAGGTACTGTACTTCCCACCTCCAGTACTGTAACATTCTCACTCATCCTTCAGAGTACAGGTACTGTACTTCCCACCTCCAGTACTGTAACATTCTCACTCATCCTTCAGAGTACAAGGTACTGTACTTCCCACCTCCAGTACTGTAACATTCTCACTCATCCTTCAGAGTACAGGTACTGTACTTCCCACCTCCAGTACTGTAACATTCTCACTCATCCTTCAGAGTACAGGTACTGTACTTCCCACCTCCAGTACTGTAACATTCTCACTCATCCTTCAGAGTACAGGTACTGTACTTCCCACCTCCAGTACTGTAACATTCTCACTCATCCTTCAGAGTACAGGTACTGTACTTCCCACCTCCAGTACTGTAACATTCTCACTCATCCTTCAGAGTACAGGTACTGTACTTCCCACCTCCAGTACTGTAACATTCCCACTCATCCTTCAGAGTGCAGGTACTGTACTTCCCACCTCCAGTACTGTAACATTCTCACTCATCCTTCAGAGTACAGGTACTGTACTTCCCACCTCCAGTACTGTAACATTCTCACTCATCCTTCAGAGTACAGGTACTGTACTTCAGAATACACACACTGAAGACATATAAAAGACAAAAATTCCAACCTAACACAAAATGACAAATTCCATAAGTCCAGAGGACTGCACCGTCATCCTTGCAATGGCGAGTCAAAATCCAACTCAATGAATCCATGGAATAAACAGATCCACTGTATGGGAGTCCTCGCGCCCAACGTGCAAAGCTATTCTGTTGTGCCAACACTCACTTAGGTGGCGACCACTCATTCGCTTGCTTGACGAGGAAGACCAAGCACGTGAAGTGTACAGCGAACTGCAGCAGCACCGTCATGATGGTGTACACATTGAAGATGTTCGGTAGAGGGCGCTCTTTACTGAGAATCTTCAAAGGCTGCAAGAAAATGGAGGTGTTTTAATACTTGGGAAAAAAATGAAGGCCATTTAATAGCCATTTTAATACTTGGAAGAAAATGGAGTTATTTAAAGTTATTTAAATACTGCTTAACTCTTTGGGGGTTTTGGACGTACTAGTACGTCTTACGCCCCAGGGTTTTTGACGTACTAGTACGCCTAAATTCTAGCGCCCTCAAATCTAGTGGGAGAAAGCTGGTAGGCCTACATATGAAAGAATGGGTCTATGTGGTCAGTGTGCGCAGTATAAAAAAAATCCTGCAGCACACAGTGCGTAATGAGAAAAAAAAACTTTGACCGTTTTTGGATTAAAACAGCGACTTTGCACTGTATTTTCGTATGGTATTTATTGTTGTATTTTAGTTTTCTTGGTCTCATTTCATAGAATGGAAGACATATTACAGAAATTGAGATGATTTTGACTGGTTTTACAATGAAAAGTTCCTTGAAATTGAGCTTAAAGTAGCAGAAATGTTTGATTTTTACCAAAGTTCAAAAGTAAACAAATTATGCTACGAGTCCAATACACATCAACTGGCAAGTCTAATATTCTTTCACAAGTGCGCTGATATTATTTATACCATTTCTACACTAATGCAGTAGTCTGCATAACAGTAAATCTTCTATTTTTTGTAAGAATAAAAATTCAAAGTGGAAAGCCAAAGAAATATAAGAGAGGCCTGGGGATGTGACTGACGAACAGAGAACTTGTCATTTTAGTGCCAGGAATGTCTTTCTTGTTTATTCTGGACCCTATTTGGAAATTGGCATCTTTTGAAATTTGTGTGAAATTGGCAAAATTGCTAAATTCTGACCACTTTATTGGATAGTTGAAATCGGTAAATGGGTGGTTTCTTGTACTCATTCGATAGAAAAAATGGAGTTTTAGCGAAATACTAGCTATGATTTTTGTCGACTAGTACACTGGAATTGGCTGAAAATAGGGCTCAAAGTGGGCAAAATTGCCGATGCGTAAACATCGTTGACACCGCTAACTTCGCGAGAGCATAATTCTGTAAGTTTTCCATCAAATTTCATACTTTTGGTGTCATTATGATTGGGAAAAGATTCTCTATCTTTTCATAAGAAAAAAATTTTTTTTTTTTTTTGAAATTTGGCCGACCCTGAGAACAAGTCTCTTAGAGAACCTGTCGACCCCCAAAGGGTTAAAACACTTTATTTTTAACATGACAGCTGTTTCTCACTATTATGAACACAGGTGTAGTCCAGTGGCCTGCACACCTGGTTGTATCATGATAACCAAGGTACAGATGATAAGGTGCCACCAAAATACGGGGGAAGTAAATTTTTTTTTTTTTCAACAAACCGGCCGTATCCCACCAAGGCACGGTGACCTAAGTTTTTCTTATAAATTTTAGCAATATATACAGGAGAAGGTGTAACTAACACCTTGCTTCCAGCATGTTAGTTGCCTCTTATGACATGCATGGGTTACGGAGGAAGAATTCTGCATCACTTCCCCATGGAGGCCAGCAGTAACAGCCTGACTGATCAGGCCCTGATTCACAGGAGGCCTGGTTGTGGACTGGGCTGCAGGGGCGTTGATGCCCGGAATACCCACCAGGTAGACTCCAGGCAGGTAGGTAAACGGAAATAAACAAGAACAAGAACTAGTAAGCAAATAGAAGAAAACCCAAAGGGGTGCATATATATATGTTTGTACATGTATGTGTAGTGTGACCTAAGTGTAAGTAGAGGTAGCAAGATGTACCTGAAATCTTGCATGTTTATGAGACAGAAAAAAGACATCAGCAATCCTACCATCATGTAAAACAATTACAGGCTTCCGTTATACACTCACTTGGCAGGACGGTAGTACCTCCCTGGGTGGCTGCTGTCAATGTACAATATCTGGTCTTCAACCAGACTTGGAGGTAAGTCTGCCAATATTGATTCACGAGTGTACCACATCACTTCGCAGCTTTGGCAGTCTTCCTTGTGATTGACTGGTTGAACCAAGGTACTGAAATAATGATGGGGCCCTGCAATCGTTTAGCCCATAGCACCTGGTTCACTGGTTGGGATGAACAACACACAGTTGGCCACAAGATGAACAAGAGGTATGATAAAGCTCATGGAGCAGGGAGAATGGACCTAATAGTGACCAGTGAAGAGGCAGGGCCAGAAACTATGACTCGACCCCTGCAACCACAACTAGGCAAGGACAAACCATACCACGGGCGGGATTTGAACCCACGGTCAGAGAGTCTCAAAACTCCAGACCGTCCCGTCCATGGTATGGTTTGTTTGCAATCGTGTCATTACGATTTCGTGAATCATGTTTTAGGTAAGTACATACAATTAGGCGAGTACACAGGTGGTCACATTACCTTCGATCTGGAAATGAAGAGGAAGCAGGCGGCCAGCAGCAGGCCCTGAAGTGTGGCCTGGTAGTCGGAGAACTTGATGCCGTCGAGGTAGAGGACGGACTGAGAGTACGCCAAGATGAGGGCATTCAGCGCTAGGATTTTGAACATCTGTAGCGTCGTCAGCAAGGTGCACCGTCCCTGCTTGATGATGTGGCACACTGAAAATGATAAGAATGATTGTGAGAATCTGCCTGATTGTGATGGAGTGATAGTGACACAAGATCTCGCCTTCATGGGCTACTAGTGACACTATCTGGGGAGACATAGTGATGCTAGATCTCACCTTCATTGATCACTGTCACTAACCAGGGTATGATAGTGATGCTAGATCTCACCTTCATTGATCACTGTCACTATCCAGGGTGTGATAGTGATGCTAGATCTCACCTTCATGAAGCGCTAGTGACACTAACCATGGAGTGATAGCGACATGATCTCACCTTTGTAGAGCGCTGTGTCACCATCCGAGAGCATTCATGATGCAGGATCTCACCTTCGTGGATCGCTAGTGTCACTATCCAGGGAGCGATAGTGACACAAGATCTCACCTTTGTGGAGTGCTGTGTCATCATCCAGGGAGCATTCATGACACAAGCTCTCACCTTTGTGGAGCGCTAGTGTCACTATCAACCACAATGAAAATGATAGGCTGGATAAAATGAACCACTAAATGATTTAATTTTACCCAGCCAATCATTTTCCTCGCGGCTGATTAAATTTGGATTTAATTTGTTTATTTGTGGTTATTTACCTACAGAAACAAAAAAAAATCACATGATGATATCTTGAGTGGAACAATTTGCAAATGATCAACAATACCATAGCTTGAACAATTCGTACTTAATCCACAATACCATTTTTTTAATTTTTTTTTATTATCACACTGGCCGATTCCCACCAAGGCAGGGTGGCCCGTGTGATAATAAAAAAAAATAAAAAATACCATGTCTGAAATAATTCACACCCTAAACCATTAATAACCCACCAAAAAGCTGCAGAGTGAACAATCACCAATTCCTGTGTCAGACAACACATTCTTCCACTCTTCAAGTGTCTGAAATAAATAGAGTAAGTCCTTAATTAACAAACACATTGGGGACCTTCCAAATTGTGTATAATAATGATATACACAATACTGATATTATACACAATACGTGTTTTAAGTCGAGGACTTACTATATACAAAATTTATACTCATTACTGTCCCTCCTATTATATACAGTGGACCCCCGGATTACATCATCGGAATTCGTAATATTCGGAATAGTAACATTTTTTCGTCAAAATATTGGCTCGGTGATCGTCACTGAACTCGGTATTAGTCATTCATCCCGAACGTGTCCGTGCGGCCCGAGAGGTCCGACACACCATTTACAGCCAGTGTGTCATTGTTTATCAGCCAGTGAGGACGATCCCACACATTCATACGATATATTTTGTATTATTCCATTCTTTTTAGTGCTTGCAACTGCTAAATAAACCACCATGGGCCCAAAGAAAGTTCCTAGTGCCAGTCAGCCCTTTGGTAAAGGGCTGAGAGAGTGGGGAAAATGTGCCTTTTTCAGTGATTCTGCAATATGTACGATACTAAAGCAGCAGGAGTCAATAAAGGCTATAGCGCCAGTCAGCGATAAATTAAGTGTAGCAAATAGGTTAAGCAATTAATTGATAGAAAAAGGACAGCACGAACACTGGCATAACACAACACAACACACAGGCACAACACAAGGCACAAAATCCTCTTCAACTTCCGCTGTGTCTGGCTCACACTACGCAAAAACTCAATGCAAATAAAATGCCCTAAGATCTGGAATTTGTTACCAGAATCACCTGTCGACAGGTCTCCTGTCTGCCAGTCAACTTAAGAGATTTTGTTAAAAATTATCTCATCTCCTTAATGTTACTAAATAAGCACAGCCACCCACATTCTGATGGGTGACAGCTAACAGATTGTGGACAACAGATGGGTGGGACTGAGAGCTGCACTCACCGCACTGGATCGACGACAGCTTGGAGGTGAACGGCGCGGCAATGGAAGCGTCGCCCAGCTTCACTACCGGGTTATTCTCCTCCTCCAGTTCTTGTAGTAACTTCTGCAACTGTGCCTGTGCTTTCACCATCTGCTCCTGCAACAGGTTTATGATTATTATTGTGTGAGGGGCTTGGACTTCCAGCAAGCATGTGTGAGCATGTTAGATAGGAGTGAATGGAGGCAAATGGTTTTTAGGACTTGACGTGCTGTTGGAGTGTGAGGAAGGTAACATTTATGAAGGGATTCAGGGAAACTGGCAGTGCCAGACGTGAGTCCTGGAGATGGGAAGTACAGTGGACCCCCGCATAGCGAACTTAATCCGTGCAAGAGGGCTGGTCGTTATGCGAAATGTTCGCTATGCGAATTAATTTTCCCCATAAGAAATAATGGAAATAAAATTAATCCGTGCAAGACACCCAAAAGTATGAAAAAAAAATTTTTTTACCACAAAAAAATGTTAATTTTAGTACACACAAACTGAAAAAGGCATGCACAATTACATGACACTTACTTTTATTGAAGATCTGGTGATGATTGATGGGATGGGAGGAGGGGAGAGAGAGTGTTAGTGTTTAGAAGGGGAATCCCCTTCCATTAGGACTTGAGGTAGCAAGTCCTTTTCCGGGGTTACTTCCCTTCTTCTTTTAATGCCACTAGGACCAGCTTCAGAGTCACTGGACCTCTGTCGCACAACAAATCTGTCCATAGAGCTCTGTACCTCCCGTTCCTTTACGATTTGTCTAAAATGGGCCATAACATTGTCATTGAAATAGTCACCAGCACGGCTTGCAACAGCTGTGTCAGGGTGATTTTCATCCATAAAGGTTTGCAGTTCAACCCACTGTGCACACATTTCCTTAATTTTTGAAGTAGGCACAATGGATTCCACAACTGGCATAGGCTTCTCAGGGTTAGCCCCAAACCCTTCAAAATCTTTCTTAATTTCCATACTAATTCTCACCCTTTTTACCACAGGGTTGGCACTAGAAGCTTTCTTGGGGCCCATGGTCACTTATTTTCCAGAAACAGCACCGAAAACACTGTAATAATACGAAATATTCCGAGTGTATGCTTGAATGTTACCGCGGAGGCTGGCTGGTAAACAATGGACGCGTCTCGGACGAAGGTCGCTGAGCGGGTTTTTGTCCACTATGCGGGGCAAAATTTTGGCGAACAAAGCGTTCGCTATGCGGATTGTTCGCTATGCAAGGCGTTCGCTATGCGGGGGTCCACTGTACAGTGTCTGCACTCTGAAGGAGGGGTGTTAATGTTGCAGTTTTATAACTGTAATGTTAGTGCACCTCTGGCAAGATATAAATGCAAATATAAACCCTCCACTCAAACTTCTCCTCACCAACCTACACAGGACACATGACCACAACACAAGACACAGATTTTTTTTTTTTGATATACCTCGTGTCTATATCACATTGTGTAAAAACTCTATGCACATAAAGGGCCCCAAAATATGGAATTCATTACCAGAAGATATTAAAGTAACCCAGTCTGAAAATCAATTTAAGACTCTTCTCAAAATCCACTTAATCACCCTAGACTAAATACTAAATACTCAGTACACACTTACTCACCTGTGTACTCCCACATCATAACTTCAACAATCACTTTGAACCTTTTATCCATTGTTGACAGAATTAGTTTTATTTTATTTTATTATCACACTGGCCGATTCCCACCAAGGCAGGGTGGCCCGAAAAAGAAAAACTTTCACCATCATTCACTCCATCACTGTCTTGCCAGAAGGGTGCTTTACACTACAGTTTTTAAACTGCAACATTAACACCCGTCCTTCAGAGTGCAGGCACTGTACTTCCCATCTCCAGGACTCAAGTCCGGCCTGCCGGTTTCCCTGAACCCCTTCATAAATGTTACTTTGCTCACACTCCAACAGCACGTCAAGTATTAAAAACCATTTGTCTCCATTCACTCCTATCAAACACGCTCACGCATGCCTGCTGGAAGTCCAAGCCCCTCGCACACAAAACCTCCTTTACCCTCTCTCTCCAACCTTTCCTAGGCCGACCCCTACCCCGCCTTCCTTCCACTACAGACTGATACACTCTTGAAGTCATTCTGTTTCGCTCCATTCTCTCTACATGTCCAAACCACCTCAACAACCCTTCCTCAGCCCTCTGGACAACAGTTTTGGTAATCCCGCACCCTCCTCCTAACTTCCAAACTACGAATTCTCTGCATTATATTCACACCACACATTGCCCTCAGACATGACATCTCCACTGCCTCCAGCCTTCTCCTCGCTGCAACATTCATCACCCATGCTTCACACCCATATAAGAGCGTTGGTAAAACTATACTCTCATACATTCCCCTCTTTGCCTCCAAGGACAAGTTCTTTGTCTCCACAGACTCCTAAGTGCACCACTCACCCTTTTCCCCTCATCAATTCTATGATTCACCTCATCTTTCATAGACCCATCCGCTGACACGTCCACTCCCAAATATCTGAATACATTCACCTCCTCCATACTCTCTCCCTCCAATCTGATATCCAATCTTTCATCACCTAATCTTTTTGTTATCCTCATAACCTTACTCTTTCCTGTATTCACTTTCAATTTTCTTCTTTTGCACACCCTACCAAATTCATCCACCAATCTCTGCAACTTCTCTTCAGAATCTCCCAAGAGCACAGTGTCATCAGCAAAGAGCAACTGTGACAACTCCCACTTTATGTGTGATTCTTTATCTTTTAACTCCATGCCTCTTGCCAAGACCCTCGCATTTACTTCTCTTACAACCCCATCTATAAATATATTAAACAACCACGGTAACATCACACATCCTTGTCTAAGGCCTACTTTTACTGGGAAATAATTTCCCTCTTTCCTACATACTCTAACTTGAGCCTCACTATCCTCGTAAAAACTCTTCACTGTTTTCAGTAACCTACCTCCTACACCATACACCTGCAACATCTGCCACATTGCGTCCCTATCCACCCTGTCATACGCCTTTTCCAAATCCATAAATGCCACAAAAACCTCTTTAGCCTTATCTAAATACTGTTCACTTATATGTTTCACTGTAAACACCTGGTCCACACACCCCCTACCTTTCCTAAAGCCTCCTTGTTCATCTGCTATCCTATTCTCCGTCTTACTCTTAATTCTTTCAATAATAACTCTACCATACACTTTACCAGGTATACTCAACAGACTTATCCCCCTATAATTTTTGCACTCTCTTTTATCCCCTTTGCCTTTATACAAAGGAACTATGCATGCTCTCTGGCAATCCCTAGGTACCTTACCCTCTTCCATACATTTATTAAATAATTGCACCAACCACTCCAAAACTCTATCCCCACCTGCTTTTAACATTTCTATCTTTATCTCATCAATCCCGGCTGCCTTACCCCCTTTCATTTTACCTACTGCCTCACGAACTTCCCCCACACTCACAACTGGCTCTTCCTCACTCCTACAAGATGTTGTTCCTCCTTGCCTAATCACATACCGGGCCGCGGGGGCGTTGACCCCCGGAACTCTCTCCAGGTAAACACGAAATCACAGCTTCCCCATCTTTATCAACATTTAACAATTCCTCAAAATATTCCCTCCATCTTCCCAATACCTCTATCTCTCCATTTAATAACTCTCCTCTCCTATTTTTAACTGACAAATCCATTTGTTCTCTAGGCTTTCTTAACTTGTTAATCTCACTCCAAAACTTTCTTATTTTCAACAAAATTTGTTGATAACATCTCACCCACTCTCTCATTTGCTCTCTTTTTACATTGCTTCACAACTCTCTTAACCTCTCTCTTTTTCTCCATATACTCTTCACTCCTTGCATCACTTCTACTTTGTAAAAACTTCTCATATGCTAACTTTTTCTCCCTTACTACTCTCTTTACATCATCATTCCACCAATCGCTCCTCTTCCCTCCTGCACCCACTTTCCTGTAACCACAACTTCTGCTGAACACTCTAACACCACATTTTTAAACCTACCCCATACCTCTTTGACCCCATTGCCTATGCTCTCATTAGCCCATCTATCCTCCAATAGCTGTTTATATCTTACCCTAACTGCCTCCTCTTTTAGTTTATAAACCTTCACCTCTCTCTTCCCTGATGCTTCTATTCTCCTTGTATCCCATCTACCTTTTACTCTCAGTGTAGCTACAACTAGAAAGTGATCTGATATATCTGTGGCCCCTCTATAAACATGTACATCCTGAAGTCTACTCAATAGTCTTTTATCTACCAATACATAATCCAACAAAACTACTGTCATTTCGCCCTACATCTATCTTGTATACTTATCCTCTTTTTCTTAAAATATGTATTACCTATAACTAAACCCCTTTCTATACAAAGTTCAATCAAAGGGCTCCCATTATCATTTACACCTGGCACCCCAAACTTACCTACCACACCCTCTCTAAAAGTTTCTCCTACTTTAGCATTCAGGTCCCCTACCACAATTACTCTCTCACTTGGTTCAAAGGCTCCTATACATTCACTTAACATCTCCCAAAATCTCTCTCTCTCCTCTGCATTCCTCTCTTCTCCAGGTGCATACACGCTTATTATGACCCACTTCTCGCATCCAACCTTTACTTTAATCCACATAATTCTTGAATTTACACATTCATATTCTCTTTTCTCCTTCCATAACTGATCATTTAACATTACTGCTACCCCTTCCTTTGCTCTAACTCTCTCAGATACTCCAGATTTAATACCATTTATTTCCCCCCACTGAAACTCTCCTACCCCCTTCAGCTTTGTTTCGCTTAGGGCCAGGACATCCAACTTCTTTTCATTCATAACATCAGCAATCATCTGTTTCTTGTCATCCGCACTACATCCACGCACATTTAAGCATCCCAGTTTTATAAAGTTTTTCTTCTTCTCTTTTTTAGTAAATGTCTACAGGAGAAGGGGTTACTAGCCCATTTTCGGATATAAATATATCTTTGTATTATAAAAATTTTGATTCATTTATAATTAATAATCTACTGTACAACTATGAAATAATTACCATCCTACTGTACAACTATGATATACTCCTTAGTGTTAAGTAGACTGTAAGTCAATAATGTTAAGTTGGTCCATAATGCCTAGACATAATAGAGTTTCTCTTTGCATTGCAACCCACTATTGTAAACACAAAATCTCAATGTACTGTTTGCAAAGACATAAATAAATAAATAAATAAATAAATAAATAAATAAATAAATAAATAGTGATGGAGTGAATGATGGTGAAAGCTTTTCTTTTTCGGGCCACTCTGCCATGGTGGCAAATGGCTGGTGTTAATAAAATAAATTTTTAGATTAATTATTAACTTCGATCTAGATAGTTAATTGAGTTTAAAATCTGTCTATTACACGAAGGTCATTAAGATGACTGGTTGGTTGGTTGGTTGGTTATTGGAGGTTGAAGTCTATCTACTAAACTTTTCAGAGTAGAGGCGCCTGTTCGCAAACTTGCTCCCAGGGTCGAAGATTTAAAAAATATTACGAAATGACAGAGAATCTTTTCTGAAGGTAGTGAAACCAAAATTATGAAATTTGATGGAAAACTTACAGAATTATGGTCTTGCAAATTTAGTGGTCTCGGTGATATTTATTCATTGGCTTTTTCATCCAATTTGTGCCCTATTTACAGCCAATTCCATTGTTTCAGTCAACCAACTCATAGTTATTTTGCTAGTATTCTTTCTATCAATCGAGTACAAGAAACTGCCCATTTACCTATTTCAACTACCCAATAAAGTGATCAGAAATCAGTGATTTGGACAATTTCACACAAATTTCACATGCCAGTTTCAAAATAGGGTCCAGAATAAACAAGACAGACATTCCTGGCACTAAAATAACATTTTCTCTGTTCACTAATCACGTCTCCAGGCCCCGCTTATATTACTCGTTTTCTATTTTGAATATTTACAAAAAAAAAAAAATGATGATTTACTGTTATGCAGGCTACTGCATTATTGTAATAATTGTATAAATAATGTCAGTGCATTCCTAAATGCATATTAGACCAGCCAGTTGGATGCACATTGGACAAGTAACATCATTTGTGTACTCTGGAATATCGACAAAAATCAAACATTTTTGCTACAACTTTGAGCTCAATTTCAAGCTTCTTTCAGTCCTGAAACCAATCAAAATCATCACTGTTTCTGTAATATCTTCCATTCTATCAAATAAAACCAATAAATTGAGTGTACAATCATAAAAAGCATAAAAAAAAACACACCGTAAAGTCGCTGTTTTTAACCAAAAACACGGTCACAGTTTTTTCCTTCTTTTACACCGACTTCCGCAGGATTTTTTTTTCTATGGTGCACACTTACTGCAAAGACCCATTCTATCATATCTAGGCCCAAATTTACTGCTCACAGCTAATCTGAGTGAGCTGAGCTCACAGCATTGTACTACGGGACCAACACTGGCTTTAAAGCCGTTATGTGACGGGACCGACACCAAAAGTTAAGTAGCGTGTAAGTATTAGTAATAATCTGCCTGAAATTACACTATATGTCAGCGACTCTCTTTTATGCTTAACTATTTTATTACACGCTTACTGTTTATTACACACTTATTGTTTATTTGAAGAGACATACTTGTTGTGGAGTTAATCTCTGTTGGTTAGGTCCAGCTGGCGGTGTGTGCGCCTTCTGTTTCTCCACTCGTCTGGCCAGCTTCTTTGCGCTCTCCAGCTTCTCCGACATGGCTGGAGTCATGTTGTTGCCTGGCTCATCGCCACGTTTCTTCTTCTGAGGCGGTCGGTCTGGTGCACTGGACAGGATGGCCACACCTTGCAGATGCCGCAGATACAAACAACTTTAACACTAGATTATTTCACATTATTTATTAATTTCTGTGAATGACTAGTGTGTAAGGGAAGGTGGGGTAGGGGTCGGACTAGGAAAGGTTGGAGGGGGTAAAGGATTTGTGTGCGAGGGGCTTGGACTTCCAGCAAGCACTGTACTTCCCACCTCCAGTACTATAACATTCTCACTCATCCTTCAGAATACAGGCACTGTACTTCCACCTCCAGGACTCAAGTCTGGCTAACCAGTTTCTCTGAATCCCTTCATAAATGTCAACTTTCTCACATTCCAACAGCACCTCAAGTCATAAAAACCACTTGCCTCCACTCACTCATATCTAACACACACACACTTTCTGGATGTTCCAGCCCCTGGTACACAAAACCTTCTTTACCCCACAGCTCAAGCTGTGCTGATGGTACAGCAGTATCTCTCAGCTCAAGGATGACACAAAACCATCGACAATGGTAATACAGTGGACCCCCGCTTAACGATCGCCTCCAAATGCGACCAATTATGTAAGTGTATTTATGTAAGTGCGTTTGTACGTGTATGTTTGGGGGTCTGAAATGGACTAATCTACTTCACAATATTCCTTATGGGAAAAAATTCAGTCAGTACTGGCACCTGAACATACTACTGAAATGAAAAAGTTCGTTAACCGGGGGTCCACTGTACATGTATATATTCCTTACTCTTATTCTTCAGTATTACACCATACAGGTGCTCCTTGACTTGTGATGGCTCAACTTACGATATTTCAACTTTACGATGGTGCGGCAGCAATTACTCTGGAGATGAAGCTTAAGATAATTACCCAACATGAAGGTGACAAGTCCATAACTTGTATTCATTTACCGACTTTTCAATACTGGTATTTAGTTATACTATATGTTCGTTTACTTATTCAGTGACAGTAGTAATATATTTACTTATTTAGCCTATCATATTCAACTGGCGATATATTCAACTTAACTCACGAAATCGTAATGACAATTGCAAACAAACCATACCATGGGTGGGGTTTGAACCTGCGGTCAGAGAGTCTCAAAACTCCAAATCAACGTGTTAGCTGGCCCAGTGGCTAACACGACGGTCTGGAGTTTTGAGACCCTGACTGCGGGTTCAAACCCCACCCATGGTACGGTTTATATTCAACTTATGATGGGTTTGCTGGAACTTAACTCATCCTTAGTCAAGGACCATCTGTAATTTAAAAATACCGAAGGTGTCATCAGCTTACCACAATGAGCATGCTTTAGTGCCCCAACGTCGTTTGTGCCGTCACCGCACATGAGTGTAGTGTAGCCCAAACTCTTGTACGCGGTTATGACAAACTCCTTCTGCTTGGGTGCCACCCGTGCGAAGACGCGCACGTGCGGCAAGATGCTTCGGAAGAACTGCGGATGTTGTGCCTTCAACCACGCAAGACCCTAGATGATAAGAAACAACACAAGTGTCAGGGGCCCAAGACTATTTAACTGCCTCCCAGCATACATCAGGGGGATTTCCAATAGACCCCTGGCTGTCTTCAAGCAGGCACTGGACAGGCACCTAAAGTCAGTACCTGACCAACCAGGCTGTGGTTCATACGTTGGATTACGTGCAGCCCGCAGTAACAGCCTGGTTGATCAGACCCTGATCTACCATGAGGCCTGGTCACAGACTGGGCCACGGGGGCATTGACCCCTGGAGCTCTCTCCAGGTATACTCCAGGTATGCGACACTAAATGTGCAAGGCTCGTAGAATACCCGTGTATTAGTAGCCGTGATATTTTCATACCCAAGTCAGACCAAAACAACGTCTTACGTTTACAGAACACTATGTAAGTCACTCGCTGCCTGAACCAATAAAAACAAAACCATCTGACAGTCGATTCTCTCATCACCTCCTCTATAAACACTTTATTTTTTGTACATTCCACTGAATAAAGACTTTTTTTTTTTTTACATTCCACTGAATAAAGACTTCTTTTTTTGTACATTCCACTGAATAAAGACTTTTTTTTTTTTTTACATTCCACTGAATAAAGACTTCTTTTTTTGTACATTCCACTGAATAAAGACTTTTTTTTTTGTACATTCCACTGAATAAAGACTTTTTTTTTGTACATTCCACTGAATAAAGACTTTTTTTTTGTACATTCCACTGAATAAAGACTTTTTTTTTTGTACATTCCACTGAATAAAGACTTTTTTTTTTGTACATTCCACTGAAAAAGTATATTAAAAATTAAACAGCATTTAATTTTTCAATTACGCTTCCTAACTTTTCAAAAGACAGAGCTCTATGAGAGCTGACTCTATATAAAGGAGCTTTGTAAGATCTGACTGTATATATAGAGATTTATAAGTGATGACTATATAAAGCTGTGTACAGAGGAGCTTTGTAACTGTGTACAGCAGAGCTTTATAACAACTGTGTACAGAGGAGCTTTATAACAACTGTGTACAGCAGAGCTTTATAACAACTGTGTACAGAGGAGCTTTATAACAACTGTGTACAGAGGAGCTTTATAACAACTGTGTACAGAGGAGCTTTATAACTGCTCTTCACGTTTATTAAGTCAACATTCTATTACTATGCACAGACATTTAGTAGTCAGTCGATAAAAAAAATTAAAAACACTTGCCTCTCCAGTGATGCAAAAGTCGTATGTGGTGAAGAAGTCGTCCAGATGGCTCCTGGGCGGCACGACGTCCATCTTGACTGTCTCGTCGATGCTCTCCCACCCCCAGTGGTCCTCACCGTAGTCCTGCACCAGAAACTAAGTCGTTACAGAGCGGGAAAACCTTAGAGCAAGTGCTGGAACTACCCAGTATAGTGTCGACCACAGGCGTTGTACTTTGGACAGTAAGTCTGTGTGCTTTAAAAATATGTGAGCACCACAGTTGTTGTACTCTTGATACTTAGTCTGTGGGTTTAAAACATGTGTGTCCACTAGTGTAAACCACAGGTGCTTATAACAGCTTAATTTGAATCCAGATCACAGGTGTTGTACTCTAGACATTGAATTTGCATTTATAAAACATGTGAAGTACTCTGGAAACCAAGTCTGCAATTATAAGGAAAACATGTGAATTACTCTGGAAACTGAGTCTGCAATTTTAAGAAAACCTGAAAACACAGATGTTGTACTGCTACTCACCTGCAGAATCAATGTTGCTTTTTTCTGGGTGAATTTCAGTTCCTTGGCCACGTGGCAGGCTGTCAACGAGTTGTCACCAGTGATCATTACTACCTGTGGTCAAGATAATGATTACATGTTATTAATATAACACAAGAATAAGAATTAGGCTTCGGGTACGTCTTGCTACTTCTACTTGCACTTAGGTCACACTACACATACATGTACAAGTATATATATACACACCCCTCTGGGTTTTCTTCTATTTCTTACTAGTTCTTGTTCTTGTTTATTTCCTCTTATCTCCATGGGGAAATGGAACAGAATTCTTCCTCCATAAGCCATGCGTATTGTAAGAGGTGACTAAAATGCCGGGAGCAAGGGGCTAGTAATCCCGTCTCCTGCATATACATGTATTACTAAAGTTAAAAAGAGAAACCTTCGTTTTTCTTTTTTGGGTCACCCCGCCTCGGTGGGATACGGTCAGTTTGTTGAAAGAAGAAAGAATAAGACTGATAACACTGTGCGTGGAATAATTCACACCTAACCCATGATGCCATGGCTTTAACAATTCACACCTAACCCATGATACCATGGCTGGAACAATTCCCAATCTACAATACCATGGCTGGAACAATTCCCGCCTAACCCACAAATAAAAAGTCTTAAAAGAAATTGTCGTCCCTGAACCATCATCAATTAACTACAGAACAAAATGAACAATTTCAAACAGCCTAAAAATTACTCTCGATACTGTTACGCGCCCCTACTTCACTCCATTATATACAAAAATAAAAGGCCTGGTTAAAATAAGTTCTGTAATAATATATCGCGAACCACTTTATTACTAGCTAGATAAAGCAGGTTCGACTATATATTATTATCGGGTACAGTATGAATCATCAAAAGTACTCTCATTGTATTATATTGTATTTTATTATATCTTTCCCCATGATTATTATAATTATAATATATTATATTATATTATTATTAGGTTAGGTATTACGAATGTGTAACCACTACTGTAGTGACCAATTGGTGGTTCTAGAATTGACGCCACGCGTCGCCTTCTGGCCGAGCTGAAGTCATACTATGTAGTAGTTGAGTGAGTCAGTCAGCTCCTAGCTCTGACTCGGTACGGGTCTTCTGGCAGAGCTGAAGTCATACTATGGAGTAGTTGAGTGAGTCAGTCAGCTTCTAGCTCTGACTCGGTACGGGTCTTCTGGCAGAGCTGAAGTCATACTATGGAGTAGTTGAGTGAGTCAGTCAGCTTCTAGCTCTGACTCGGTACGGGTCTTCTGGCAGAGCTGAAGTCATACTATGGAGTAGTTGAGTGAGGCAGTCAGCTCCTAGGTCTGACTCGGTACGGGTCTTCTGGCAGAGCTGAAGTCATACTATGAAGTAGTTGAGTGAGTCAGTCAGCTCCTAGCTCTGACTCAGTACGGGTCTTCTGGCCGAGCTGAAGTCATACTATGGAGTAGTTGAGTGAGTCAGTCAGCTCCTAGCTCTGACTCAGTACGGGTCTTCTGGCCGAGCTGAAGTCATACTATGGAGTAGTTGAGTGAGTCAGTCAGCTCCTAGCTCTGACTCGGTACGGGTCTTCAACACAAAGCTCCTAGCTTAAACTAAAACTTTATACCAAGTCTATTGTCTTGCCTTTGCCAGAAGTCTGGTAATTCATGTCACTTATGAAAGATAACTATTTCGTTACCCTAGACCTCTAAAAGAGTTAAATGGTGAGATTAGTAGATTATTAATTGAAATTATTATATCATACTCTGTTAATGAGAATTTGAACGTAAGATTGGGTTTCTTGCTGTATAGTATTTCATTTATAATTGCTTGTGGTTATTTTAATTCACTAACCAAATACCAATGAAGCTAAATGATTGGTAATAAAATAAAACTAACAAAAAAAAAAAAATGGAGTTATTTGTGCCCCTATTGTTACGGTGAAGATTAAGTCGTAACAATAGTTATGTCAACAAACATCTGGCAAAATGGAGATTGAATAATCGACTGTGAAGAGGTCACGGTTACTGGGATTACTACCGTGGTTGAGAACGGCTGGGGGGGAGGGTAAAGAAAAATTCGACTTACAGCATGTGAACTCTGCAGGATCTCTTTAACAACCTCCTTGGAGTCCCTCTTCAGTGGACAGGATATTATGATGAAGCCGGCAAAGACCAGGTCACACTCCAGACCCTCTCTGGTTATCTCTCGCACCTGTAAACACAGGTACCGTTAATTAGTAGTAGTAGTAGGTAGTAGGTGGCGGCGGCGGCGGCAGTGGCAGTGGCAGCAGCAGCAGCAGCAGCATTATTTGTAGTTGCAGTAGTAATATCGTAGTATCAGGGTATAATAATATCTTTATTTACTACCAGGTATACATGTACAAGGTATACATGTACAAGGTATACATGTACAAGGTATACATGTACAAGGTATACATGTACAAGGTATACATGTACAAGGTATACATGTACAAGGTATACATGTACAAGGTATACATGTACAAGGTATACATGTACAAGGTATACATGTACAAGGTATACATGTACAAGGTATACAGACCATAGTTGACACCCATGACATACTGCTATATAGAAAGTACCTTGTTATGTTGAGCATTTCCTGCAAATTATGTCAGTTTTGTCCCAGGATGTGACCCACACCAGTCCACTAACACCCAGGATGTGACCCACACCAGTCCACTAACACCCAGGATGTGACCCACACCAGTCCACTAACACCCAGGATGTGACCCACACCAGTCCACTAACACCCAGGATGTGACCCACACCAGTCCACTAACACCCAGGATGTGACCCATGCCAGTCCACTAACACCCAGGATGTGACCCACACCAGTCCACTAACACCCAGGATGCAACCCACACCAGTCCACTAACACCCAGGATGTGACCCACACCAGTCCACTAACACCCAGGATGTGACCCACACCAGTCCACTAGCACCCAGGATGTGACCCACACCAGTCCACTAACACCCAGGATGTGACCCACACCAGTCCACTAACACCCAGGATTTGACCCACACCAGTCCACTAACACCCAGGATGTGACCTACACCAGTCCACTAACACCCAGGATGCCACCCACACCAGTCCACTAACACCCAGTTACCTATTTTACTGATGGGTGAACATAGACAATTGGTGTAAAGAAACACACCCAATGTTTCAACCCTCGCTGGGAATCGAACCCACTCTTGCCATGTGAAGAGAGAGCTTTAGCCACCAGGCCACGGAGCACCGTATGTAAAACCAAGATCAGTCATAATGAATAACTGTCACTAAGAAAAGTGAATACAGGTCTGGGACTCGAACAGTGGTTCTTTTACAGGTGGTCCCAGACTTACGATAGTACAGTGGACCCCCGGTTAACGATATTTTTTCACTCCAGAAGTATGTTCAGGTGCCAGTACTGACCGAATTTGTTCCCATAAGAAATATTGTGAAGTAGATTACTCCATTTCAGACCCCCAAACATACACGTACAAACGCACTTACATAAATACACTTACATAATTGGTCGCATTCGGAGGTAATCGTTATGCGGGGGTCCACTGTATTACGTTCTGACGAACCCATCGCAAGTCAAAAATATAGTAAGTCAAATGTGAATGTATGCTAAATAAATAAGTAAATAAATAACTACCATGACTAATAAGAAAATAAACAAAATATATGAACACACGTTATGGATTTGTTGCCTTCACGTTGGGTAATTATCTTGAGTCTCATCTCAAAAGTAATTGCTTTTACTGACTCACGAAATCGTAATGACACGATTTCAAACAAACCATACCCCGGCCGGGATTGAACCCGCGGTCAGAGAGTCTCAAAACTCCAACCCGTCGCGACGGGCTGGAGTTTTGAGACTCTGACCGCGGGTTCAATCCCGGCCGGGGTATGGTTTGTAATTGCTTTTGTTCCATTGTAAAGTTGAAATCTCCTAAGTCGAACCATTGTAAGTCCAGCCCCAACACTAAGCACTCAGCCACTAACCCACATTATTGTATATACGTATACTTGAACTTAAACGTTAGTGAAAACCTTAATCTGACTGGATTAAATAATTGTATCCTATGAACTAGGTTTTCTATAGTGACACAAACTCGCTAAGTTTGTAAACAAATGGAGAAGTTTGGGGCATTTACTGACATATTTCATTTTTCTAGCTAAAATATTATCACACTTCCTAGGTGGTAGGTTGGTAGACAACAACCACCCAGGGAGGTACTACCGTCCTGTGGTAGTAGGTTGGTAGACAACAACCGCCCAGGGAGGTACTACCGTCCTGTGGTGGTAGGTTGTAGACAACAACCACCCAGGGAGGTACTACCGTCCTGTGGTAGTAGTTGGTAGACAACAACCACCCAGGGAGGTACTACCGTCCTGTGGTAGTAGGTTGGTAGACAACAACCACCCAGGGAGGTACTACCGTCCTGTGGTAGTAGGTTGGTAGACAACAACCACCCAGGGAGGTACTACCGTCCTGTGGTAGTAGGTTGGTAGACAACAACCACCCAGGGAGGTACTACCGTCCTGTGGTAGTAGGTTGGTAGAACAACAACCACCCAGGGAGGTACTACCATCCTGTGGTAGTAGGTTGGTAGACAACAACCGCCCAGGGAGGTACTACCGTCCTGTGGTAGTAGGTTGGTAGACAACAACCGCCCAGGGAGGTACTACCGTCCTGTGGTAGTAGGTTGGTAGACAACAACCACCCAGGGAGGTACTACCGTCCTGTGGTAGTAGGTTGGTAGACAACAACCACCCAGGGAGGTACTACCGTCCTGTGGTAGTAGGTTGGTAGACAGCAACCACCCAGGGAGGTACTACCGTCCTGTGGTAGTAGGTTGGTAGACAACAACCACCCAGGGAGGTACTACCGTCCTGTGGTAGTAGGTTGGTAGACAACAACCGCCCAGGGAGGTACTACCGTCCTGTGGTAGTAGGTTGGTAGACAACAACCGCCCAGGGAGGTACTACCGTCCTGTGGTAGTAGGTTGGTAGACAACAACCGCCCAGGGAGGTACTACCGTCCTGTGGTAGTAGGTTGGTAGACAACAACCGCCCAGGGAGGTACTACCGTCCTGTGGTAGTAGGTTGGTAGACAACAACCGCCCAGGGAGGTACTACCGTCCTGCCAAGTGAGTGTAAAACGAAAACCTGTAATTGTTTTACATGATGGTAGGATTGCTGGTGTCTTTTTTTCTGTCTCATGAACATGCAAGATTTCAGGTACGTCTTGCTACTTCTACTTACACTTAGGTCACACTACACATACATGTACAAGCATATATATACACACCCCTCTGGGTTGTCTGCTATTTTCTTTCTAGTTCTTGTTTATTTCCTCTTACCTCCATGGGGAAGTGGAACAGAATTCTTCCTCCGTAAGCCATGCAACACGTGTTGTAAGAGGCAACTAAAATGCCGGGAGCAAGGGGCTAGTAACCCCTTCTCCTGTATAAATTACTAAATTTAAAAAAAGAAACTTTTGTTTTTCTTTTTGGGCCACCCCGCCTCGGTGGGATACGGCCGGTTTGTTGAAAGAAGAAGAAGATTATCACACTTAATTGAAAATCATGATAATTAATGATTTTTCAGACTTTTTCTTGCTTAGAGCTTATAAGGCTGTGGCCTGGTATGCACGAGGAGCAATTTGAACCCCTGCCTAGTATTCTGTAGTTAAATGCTGGCACACTCAGCTCACACACTGAGGTCCATGGTTTAGTCCCCAGTAAGAGTGAAAACACTGGGACAAGTTTCCTTAAGACACCTGCTGTCCCTGTTCACCTAGCACTAAGTAGGTACCTGGGTTGTTAGTGGACTGGTGTAGGTGGCATCCTGGGTACAAAATTAACTTAAGTTGTGAGAAATATTCTGCATAACCAGGGACTTTCTATATAGTATGTCACTGTTGTCAGATATGGTCTGTATACCTTGTACACGTACTTATAAAAATAAGGATTCTTATTATTATATTTAAATTCTGGCATTTGTAATTTAGGGATCCCCCATACTGTGATGAATACAAAATTTGAGAGAAGCCATGTTCATGGTAATGCATTAAGTTCGTGGATGTAAACAGGTCTGAGTCAAGGTTGTGCAAAGTTCCAGTTCCCTGAATAATCAGACCTTCACCAGAATGAAGGATGCTGCTCCTAACTTGTAACGTAACCTAAACTAACATAATGTAACCTAACGTAACATAACCTAACGTAACGTAACCTAATGTAAAATAACGTAACGTAACGTAACCTAACGTAACATAACCTAACGTAATGTAACCTAATGTAACATAACGTAACATAACCTAACGTAACGTAACCTAACGTAACATAACCTAACGTAACGTAACCTAACGTAACATAACCTAACGTAATGTAACCTAATGTAACATAACCGAACCCAACATAACCAAATGTGGCCTAATGTAACCTAATGTAATCTTATGTAACGTAACCTAACCTAATGTAACTTAACTCCAGATGCAGGAAAATTACCCTAACATCAACACCTACCAGAAAATGGGTGGGGTTTTGAACCCATCGCCAGTGAGTGCTAAAACTTCAGGTCGGTGCATAACCCCGCCTGTTTCCTGGCTTGTTTGCAGTTGCATTATTACGATTTCCTGAGAGGTCAAACACTCACCTCAGCATGGGAAAGTTTACCCAACTCTTTCCTCCCCAGAGCCAGTACTCTTGCTCCACGGCGAGACAGCTTGATGTACACGTTATCGTAGTTTGGCGGCAACGACGAAAACTGCAATGCAAGAAGATTGCAACATCAACATTAACTATATGTCACTGCACTAAGTCATCAACTTGCAAACACATTAAGAATCTTTTGTATTGTGTAAAATAATGATACATACACATAAGTGCTATAATAACATTAATAACATAACAAAACAGTGATATAATAATGATATAACAATACAGAAAATTCCCAACATGTTTGTAAGTTAAGGATTTACTGTATATGACATTGCAGGGATCTTAACGTGTACACAAATAACCCGCACATAAAAGAGAGAAGCTTACGACGACGTTTCGGTCCGACTTGGACCATTGACAAAGTCAGTGTGACTTTGTCAATGGTCCAAGTCGGACCGAAACGTCGTCGTAAGCTTCTCTCTTTTATGTGCGGGTTATTTGTGTATTGTTCCAGTCATGGTATTGTGCCTTTTTGTTATTTATCTTAACGTGTATCGCTGTTTTTTCCAACAAACCTGGGCGTCTCCTACTGAGCTACGGCGACCCAAAGAAGAAACACTTTCAATATTACTCACTCCATTACTGTCTTTGAATGTTATATACAGGTCCTTTCTATGACCTTTTATTTCACTCCTATGACTTTGTGGTGTCCCACAGTTTAACCCTTAAACTGTCCAAACATAGATCTACGCTCACATGCGTAGTGCTCCAAAAGTAGATCTACATTTTTTTACATTTTCAAATACAGTGGACCCCCAGTTTACGATCAGCTCCGAATGCGACCAATTATGTAAATGTACTTATGTAAGTGCATTTGTACGTGTATGTTTGGGGGTCTGAAATGGACTAATCTACTTCACAATATTCCTTATGGGAACAAATTCGGTCAGTACTGGCACCTGAACATACTTCTGGAGTGAAAAAATATCGTTAACCGGGGGTCCACTGTATATAAAAAAATGTAGATCAAAGTTTTTTTTTAAACGCTTTCCAATGTAAAAAAAAAAAGAAGACCTACGTTTTTGTACATACTTTCAAATGTTGAAAAAATGTAGACCTACATTTGGACAGTTTAAGGGTTAATAATTTATTAAGGCAGTTGTAAACAATCACTGTTCCAATTTATGATTATTATTATAATCAAAAAGAAATGTTAAACCCATCAGGGTTATACAGCGCCAATTTACGAATGACTGGGAACCAGCCTCTCCCATGTCAAGAACTTGACTGCATTATGATTCGCAAAATCGTAATAATACAACTGCAAACAAGCCACGGTACTGGTGGGGATTGAACTACATCTTGGCCTGGTGTTTAACCACTCACTTGCCTCAAGTTCAATTCCCACCCATACCGTGGTTCATTTATACTGCCTCACGTCTCACTCCCCTGGGAAGGAGCTAAGGCTCCTTCCCAATAGAAAAGCTTATCCAGAGGATAAGTTTTTCTATTGGGTTTTAAACACTGCAGCGAGGAAGAGGCAGGAAGCAGCAGAGATGCAGTTTGAGAGCAATGTGTGAAGTTTTTATTTAGAAATTACAAACCAGTGCAGGCTTACCAAAAATATAATTCAGGGGTGCTGAAGAAGGCTTGAATTGGTATGAACATTTTGAGGGGATAGAGCAGATGAGTCTCCATGGGAAAGTGGAACAGAATTCTTCCTCCATAAGCTATGAGTGTCGTAGGAGGCAACTAAAATGCCAGGAGCAAGGGGCTAGCAACCCCCTTCTCCTGTATATACATTACTAAATTTAAAAGAAGAAACTTTTGTTTTTCCTTTCGGGCCGCCCGGCCTCGGTGGGATGTGGCCGGTTTGTTGAAAAAGCAGAACAGTATGACCAGGAGGATTTAAAACCCTAGGATGGAAATCAGCTTATTTACGCACAGGTACACACATATAGTTACACAAATTATCATACATAGTAACAGTGCAAATTACTCGCCAGGATAACCCAAAAACGTCAAAGTGACTTATTTCAACTGGGGTCCTCGATTCCACTGAAGATACCCCAAGAAGAGTTGGAAGGTGGGGAGGGTAAAGGAGGCTTGGATTTTAAGGAGCTTGAGCATCCAGCAGGCTTGTGCAAGCTTATTAGATCAGAATGGGGATGAGTGTTTTTCATGGTTTAATGTGCTGCCAGTGTGAGCAAGGTAACAGTTATGGATTCAGGAAACCTGTTACCCAGACTCAAGTTCTGGAGTTGGGAAGTACAGTGCCTGTACTCTGAAGGATGAGTGAGGATGTTACATTCATTCATTCATTCATTAGAGGTACGCCGGTACTTCCGGCCCGGGTCTTCTCCATATGGTGACCCGATGTTACAGTTCTGGAGGCGAGAAAAACAATACCTATACTCTGAAGGATGAGTGAAGATATTACAGTTCTGGAGGTGGGAAGTACAGTGCCTTCACTCTGAAGAAGAGTGGGGATGATGCAGTTCAGAAGGTCACCTGAACTGTGATGTCAAGACACTTCTGGCAAGACATCAACTGAACGAATGATGGTGACTGTGCTTCCTTCTTGGAGTCACCCTGCCTTACTGGGAGTCAGCCGTCAAGTTAAAAAAAAAATAATTTTTTTTTTTTCAACAAGTTGGTCGTCTTCCACCGAGGCAGGGTGACCCAAAAAAGAAAGAAAATCCCCCAAAAGAAAATACTTTCATCATCATTCAACACTTTCACCACACTCACACATTATTACTGCTTTTGCAGAGGTGCTCAGAATACAACAGTTTAGAAGCATACACATATAAAGATACACAACATATCCCTCCAAACTGCCAATATCCCAAACCACTCCTTTAAAGTGCAGGCATTGTACTTCCCATTTCCAGGACTCAAGTCCGACTATAAGAAAATAAATTGTATGATTCAATTCTTTTATATATTTAAGATAAAAGATATAAAATACCAACACGATGGATAAACAAACATATGCAGTATAATGCGATCTGTCATTGTCTAACTCCCCTGATGTTCCTATACCAGTGATTTCATTGACCTCATTGCACTGTGTGTTGGTTTTGTGTGTTTCACTTTTCAAAACTACCTCTTTCAGCAGACTTTTGGACTACCTACGGGTGCCCCACTTAGTGCCATCCTGGTGAGCCTATATATGGAACATCTGGAAGTTGAACCATTTTCGTCTATTATTCCCTCTTTGGTCACCTGGCTCCATTATGTTGATGACATTCTCATCATGACTCCCAGACGCTTCAACGTTCAAGCTCTCCAACATTAGTTCAACTAAGTCGAGACTTCATTCCTGTTCACACTAGAAAAACAAGTCAATAACATTCTTCCTTTCATTGATGTTCTTCCCTGTAAAGCTAACCAAGAACTGCATTTCAAAGTCTATTGAAAACCTACAAACCAACACAATTTTCTCCATTTCTACTCTCACTATGACACCAAAACCAAACGTGGTGTAATTATAGGATTTTTTCTTTGTGCACTCCAAATATGTAGCAGTGAGTTCCTTGAGGAAGAATGATCTCTCATCGAACGAGTATTTTGTAAACTTCACTATCCTCGTCACTTTATTAGAGAGTGCAGACGCCAGGCATATAACAACTTTAACTTGCCTAGACAAGATACTGATAAGGGGGGATACACAGTCCTCCTCGCCAACTCCGTAGCCAAACACATTTCCGACATCTTTTCCAATATCTCATTCCAAGTATCTACCTCCTCATCCACTACCATCAAGGACATCATCAGTAATAGACAGGACATGGTTCAATCCTCTGCAACGACTGCAGTCAATTACAGTCTCTCCTCACTTAATGATGGAGTTCCATTCCCAAGACCACATCGGTAAACAAATTCATCGCTAAGTGAGGAGCATACTACAGTGGACCCCCGCATAACGATTACCTCCGAATGTGACCAATTATGTAAGTGTATTTATGTAAGTGCGTTTGTACGTGTATGCTTGGGGGTCTGAAATGGACTAATCTACTTCACAATATTCCTTATGGGAACAAATTCGGTCAGTACTGGCACCTGAACATACTTCTGGAGTGAAAAAATATCGTTAACCGGGGGTCCACTGTATAATAATAGTGAGTTTGTGTCAACCATCTTTGATATTGTTTTAATGTCACCTTTGCATCATTTATAACATTTCTGGTATATTTTTAAATGTTTATACAGTAGTGTACTGTATATTGTAATAAACAGAATAGAGGAAATCAGCTCTAATATACATGTACATTATTTAGGTATGCAAACTGGTCAGGGAGCCCACTGTAAGTCCGAATCACTGATAAACGAATATGTCGCTAAGTGAAGAGAGGCTGTATACATGGGTGAGACTTCCAGAGGCCTCCAAACATGCGTCTCAGAACACCAATATGCAGGAAGAACCAATGATTTAACAAACACCTACATTCAACACCAAAACTTCCACAACCATTTAATGAACAAGAGACACAAGATTTATCGCCATGGAAGACGACAATGCTGCAGAATCCTGGAATTATCACTTATCTGTATATCTAATAATTTCAACAAGGATAACAGCTTCTATAACCTAACTGAACCCCTTGCCAAGAAATGTCATCGTTATCCTACATAACAACATACACACCTGCCCGTCCTTTAGAAGTCCATCTCAGATCCATCCTGCTAAACGTTCTCAGTGGTCCCTTACAGGCCTGTCTCAGATCCAACCTAACCAGCATTCTCCACCTGACTCTCTACACTAAATATACTCATGTACTCTTTATCCAGGTATATCTGTTTGTGACTTGATAATGCCCAGTGTGTGGGTGAAACAATGTCAATAAAGGATATCATTACACTGCATTTGTTTTTGTATATCCATAAATTTAAGACTGATTTCCACCACCATATTTTGTGATCATGACTCACCATGGGCCTGAGAGTTTCTGGTGCACCCTTGACAGTTGCTAGATACACGACATCGGCAGATCCTGACTGGGTGTAGCCCGTGATGACCGACATGCGCTTGAGCTGCGACGAGAAGTGGAAGCGATGGAAAATTTTCATGCCCGGAGCCTTGCCTTTCCTTGGGATCACTGCCTCACCTGTGACACAACAAATAACATCATCACCCGTGCTTATCTTTCCAGGCAGAGCCAATACAGAGAAGAAATAAGGAGGCACAATACCACAACTCGTCCAATTCAGACTCAAACATTGTCATGAGTCTCCTTCTCTTACGTACAGTTTTTTTGTGTAGTGTGAACTAATACAGTCGCCTCTCTTATTATTACAATAAAAAAAAGTGCTCAACCGGCTCTCTTACAAAGCTCCTCTACAGAATGCAACTGTGCAAAAAAAAAAAAAAACAAAGAAAGCACAGTGCATCCAAAATTAAATAGCAGGTACAGTGGACCCCCGGTTCGCGATATTAATCCGTTCCTGAGAATTCATCGTAAACCAAAATTATCGGAAAGCAAATCAATTTTCCCCATAAGAAAAATGGAAATCAAATTAATCCGTGCAAGACACCCAAAAGTACGAAAAAAAAACTTTTACCACGTGAAATATTAAGTTTAATGCAATATAATAATTACAATAACAACAATAACAATAGAATAATAACAGAATAATTGACACTTACCTTTAATGAAGATCTGGTGATGATTGATGGGATGGGAGGAGGGGAGTGTTGAACTTGTTTAGAAGGGGAATCCCCTTCCATTAGGACTTGAGGTAGCAAGTCCTTTTCTGGGGTTACTTCCCTTCTTCTTTTAATGCCACTAGGACCAGCTTGAGAGTCACTGGACCTCTGTCGCCGTTCCTTTAAGATTTGTCTAAAATGGGCTACAACATTGTCATTGTAATAGTCACCAGCAAGGCTTGCAATAGCTGTGTTAGGGTGATTTTCATCCATAAAGGTTTGCACTTCAACCCACTGTGCACACATTTCCTTAATTTTTGAAGTAGGCACAATGTATTCCACAACTGGTATAGGCTTCTTAGGGTTAGCCCCAAACCCTTCAAAATCTTTCTTAATTTCCATACTAATTCTCACCCTTTTTACCACAGGGTTGGCACTAGAAGCTTTCTTGGGGCCCATGGTGACTTATTTTGCAGAAACAAGCACCAGAAACAGTGATAATATGGATAATATAGAATGTACCGAATGTATCGTTAGATGCGCGCACACTGGCTGGCTTGTAAACACTGGCACACACGGGGGAGTTCAGGCCTCACATGGACGCGTCTCGTACGAATCACATTGCATACCGGGTTTTGTAATGGGAACCGAGGCAAATTTTTTGCGATATAATGCATCGGTTACTGGATTTATCGGATACCGATAGCATCGCGAACCGGGGATCCACTGTACTATGAAGGCCTTTCCCCATGTCATATTCAACTTTTGATGTACTTTTTCAGTCGCACTTATGAAAAATTGTGCTATATAAAGAAACTTTATACAGGAGGCCGCCAAACAGCCCTCTTATAAGGCTCCTTCATACAGCGTAATTTTGTAAATGCAAATTTTGTAAATTTTGTAAATGCAAATTTTGTAAATTTTGTAAATGCAAATTTTGTAAATTTTGTAAATGCAAATTTTGTAAATTTTGTAAATGCAAATTTTGTAAATGCAAATGAAAAAAGTGCATCAAAACTTGAAATAACAGACACTATGAAGGCTCTTGTACGCGTCTGTTAAATCTGAATGTACTTTTTCAAGGACAGTGATTAAAAATAGAGGTAAATAGAAGAGAACTGGCCATGTATCATTTTGATTAATGGCATAAAATACCAACAAGCTGATGAATAAGACATTTATACAGCATCACAAATAGATTAATTTGTCTAATAAACACCTAATTCAGAAAAAAAATTCGGATTTTTCTGTTTGCAAGATAATGGTTCGTCGCTTCTTGTCTGCAATAAGAAGAGGAAATGTCAGACAACATTTCAGTCTAACCTTGAGATTTATTAAGTAATAGCTAGTTTCCTCTGTAAGACGTGTGTCGTAAGAGGCGACTAAAATTCTGGGAGCAAAGAGCTAGTAGCCCCTTCTCCTGTATACACACCTACCATCCGACTTACGACCTGCTCGACTTACGACCACTCGACTTACGACAGTGTTTTTTTATGCCAAATTTCTGGGAAATAAACAAGTATTTGTGTTGTACACAGTGTTTATCCTAAACCTTACAGTATAAAATACAGTACTAACAACATAAAAAGTAAAACATGAAATACCAAAATAAAACAATAAAATAAAGTCATTACAAAAATGTTTTGTTGATATTCAGTAGTAAAGTTCGACTTACGACCATTTCGACTTACGACCGGTTTCTCGGAACCAAACTCGGTCGTAAGTCGGATGGTAGGTGTATTACTAGGTCACCCTACCTTGGTGGGATATGGCCGGTACATTGAAAAAAAATACTAGATGATAGGTCATGGGGAGGGTTATACTCCAGACCAACACTAGAATATAGGAGGACTGGTCCAAGACCAGACCATGGAGAAGATAATACATGTACTCCAGACCAACACTAGAACATAGGAGGACTGGTCTAAGACCAGACCATGGGAAAGAGACTCCCCAAAACCATTATAAATGACTTATTTGTCAAGACAATGGATGGAGAACTCACCTTTAGTGAGGGTCCAGTCAATAGCAGAGAGTGTAGCCTTCTCCTGCGGGTCTCCCACCAGGCCGTCCTCTAGCTGAACCAGCGAGTGACATGACGCTATCACCTGCAACGAATCAACCAATATGTTTAGATTATTTCCGTAATTAGTAGGCTGGTAGACAGCAACCACCCAAGGAGGTACTACCGTCCTGTCAAGTGAGTGTAAAACTGTAATTGTTTAACTTGATGGTAGGATTGCTGGTGTCTTTTTTTTTCCGTCTCATAAATATGCAGGATAATAGGTATATCTCGCTACTTTTACTTACACTTAGGTCACACTACACATACATGTACAAGCATATACAGTGGACCCCCGGTTAACGATATTTTTTCACTCCAGAAGTATGTTCAGGTGCCAGTACTGACCGAATTTGTTCCCATAAGAAATATTGTGAAGTAGATTAGTCCACTTCAGACCCCCAAACATACACGTACAAACGCACTTACATAAATACACTTACATAATTGGTCGCATTCGGAGGTAATCGTTATGCGGGGGTCCAAGGTATATACACACTCCTCTGGGTTTTCTTCTATTTTCTTACTAGTTCTTGTTCTTGTTTATTTCCCCTTATCTCCAAGGGGAAGTGGAACAGAATTCTTCCTCCATAAGTCATGTGTGTTGCAAGAGGCGACTAACTTGCCGGCAGCAAGGGGCTAGTAACCCCTTCTCCTGTGTACATTACTAAACCTAAAACGAAAAACTTTTGTTTTTCTTTTTAGGTCACCCTGCCTGGGTGGGATATGACCAGTTTGTTGAAAGAAGAAAAGAAAAATACTAATAATAATGCAACCTCTCCTCACTTAACGACGTACTCGTTTACCAACGACTTGGACTTATGACGGGCTCTCTGACCAGTATGCATATCTAAATAATGTACATTAGAGCTGATTTCCTCTATTCTGTTTATTACAATATACAGTACACTACTGTACAAACATTTAAAAATATACCAGAAATGTTATAAATGGTTCAAAGGTGACATTAAAACAATATCAAAGATGGTGACACAAACCCACCACCATTATAGTATGCTCCTCACTTAGTGACGAATTTGTTTACCAATGTGGTCTTAGGAATGGAACTCCGTTGTTAAGTGAGGAGAGGCTGTAATCTTTATTTCTAAAAGTACACATACAAGGTATACAGACCATAACTGACATAAATGACATACTACTATATAGAAAGCCCTTTGTTATGCAGAGCATTACTTGCAAATTAGGTCAATTTTGTCCCCAGGATGCGACCCACACCAGTCCACTAACACCTAGGTACCCATTTTACTGATGGGTGAACATAGACACCCGGTGTAAGGAAACACTCCCAACATTTCTACCCTTGCCCAAAATTGAACCTGGACCCTCAGTGTGTGAAGTGAGAACTTTGCCTACCAGGCCATGGGCCACCTATGGGTGGTTAGCCCAACCTACTTTACAGTCAGAATACCAAATATTAAACTCACGAAATATTAGATTTTATTGTACACTTATAAATAAATAAATAAATGCTAAGTGAGGAGCATACTATAATGGTAGTGGGTTTGTGTCACATTATTTAGGTATGCATACTGGTCAGAGAGCCTGTCGTAAGTCCAAGCTGTCGGTAAACGAGTACTGTCGGTAAGTGAGGAGAGACTATAATGTTTTTGACTGTTTGTGCTCAATGTTTTAGCTTCAAAGGAGCTATTTAACAGTAAAAAGGAACCAGAATAGAGGAACTAACCTGTACTGTTTCCAGTGGGGCCTCGTAAACAGGAACCACATCACTTGTCCCACTGAAAATAAATGACGACATTATATGTTTGATATTTGAAGGGACATCTAAACTGTTGTATCTGCATGTCTCTGCCAAGATAGTGATGGAGGGAATGACGGTGCAAGTTTCTTTCTCGGGTCACCCTGCCTCAGTGGGAGATGGCTGGCTTAAAAAAAAAAATCCACTCCAGTATTCCTGTAGCGGAATGCTAGACGGCTAATGTGGCAATCCTCCGGCATTGCAGTTTTTATCTTTGCTGCCAAACTACGACAACACGTACATAACCGAGGCTCTACCTGTAATATTAGGGCAAACTGTGAGAGATGTCAGGATGGAATGATAACTTATGGATGGAATGATAACTTATGGATGGAATGATAACTTATGGATGGAATGATAACTTATCAGGGTACCTCAGGGATCACTGCCGACTCCCTTGTTGTTCAGGAAACACTCAATTTAATACACTTCAGCAAAATGAGGCACAGTCCGCTGGGTCAGCTGACTGGGCAAGCTGGGGACATAGTCTGCTGGGTCAACTGACTGGGCAAGCTGGGGACAAAGTCTGCTGGGTCAACTGACTGGGCAAGCTGGGGACAAAGTCTGCTGGGTCAACTGACTGGAGAGCTAAGGACAGAGTCAGCTGGGTCAACTGACTGGGCAAGCTAGGAACAGAGTCTGCTGGGTCAACTTACTGGGCAAGCTAGGGACAGAATCTGCTGGGTCAACTGACTGGGCAAGCTAGGGACAGAGTCTGCTGGGTCAACTGACTGGGCAAGCTAGGAACAGAGTCTGCTGGGTCAACTGATTGGGCAGGTTGGGGACAAAGTCTGCTGGGTCAACTGACTGGAGAGCTAAGGACAGAGTCAGCTGGGTCAACTGACTGGGCAAGCTGGGGACATAGTCTGCTGGGTCAACTGACTGGGCAGGTTGGGGACAAAGTCTGCTGGGTCAACTGACTGGAGAGCTAAGGACAGAGTCAGCTGGGTCAACTGACTGGGCAAGCTAGGAACAGAGTCTGCTGGGTCAACTTACTGGGCAAGCTAGGGACAGAATCTGCTGGGTCAACTGACTGGGCAAGCTAGGGACAGAGTCTGCTGGGTCAACTGACTGGGCAAGCTAGGAACAGAGTCTGCTGGGTCAACTGATTGGGCAGGTTGGGGACAAAGTCTGCTGGGTCAACTGACTGGAGAGCTAAGGACAGAGTCAGCTGGGTCAACTGACTGGGCAAGCTAGGAACAGAGTCTGCTGGGTCAACTGAATGGGCAAGCTAGGAACAGTCTGCTGGGTCAACTGGCTGGGCAAGCTAGGGACAGTCTGCTGGGTCAACTGACTGGGCAAGCTAGGGACAGAGTCTGCTGGGTCAACTGACTAGGCAAGCTAGGAACAGAGTCTGCTGGGTCAACTGACTGGGCAAGCTAGGGACAGAGTCTGCTGGGTCAACTGACTGGAGAGCTAAGGACAGAGTCAGCTGGGTCAACTGACTGGGCAAGCTAGGAACAGAGTCTGCTGGGTCAACTTACTGGGCAAGCTAGGGACAGAATCTGCTGGGTCAACTGACTGGGCAAGCTAGGGACAGTCTGCTGGGTCAACTGACTGGGCAAGCTAGGAACAGAGTCTGCTGGGTCAACTGACTGGGCAAGCTAGGGACAGAGTCAGCTGGGTCAACTGACTGGAGAGCTAAGGACAGAGTCAGCTGGGTCAACTGACTGGGCAAGCTAGGAACAGAGTCTGCTGGGTCAACTGACTGGGCAAGCTAGGGGCAGAATCTGCTGGGTCAACTGACTGGGCAAGCTAGGGACAGAGTCTGCTGGGTCAACTGACTGGGCAAGCTAGGAACAGAGTCTGCTGGGTCAACTGACTGGGCAAGCTAGGGACAGAGTCAGCTGGGTCAACTGACTGGAGAGCTAAGGACAGTCAGCTGGGTCAACTGAATGGGCAAGCTAGGAACAGAGTCTGCTGGGTCAACTGGCTGGGCAAGCTAGGGACAGTCTGCTGGGTCAACTAACTGGGCAAGCTAGGGACAGTCTGCTGGGTCAACTGACTGGGCAAGCTGGGGACAGAGTCTGCTGGGTCAACTGACTGGGCAAGCTGGGGACAGAGTTTGCTGGGTCAACTGACTGGGCAAGCTGGGGACAGAGTCTGCTGGGTCAACTGACTGGGCAAGCTGGGGACAGAGTTTGCTGGGTCAACTGACTGGGCAAGCTGGGGACAGAGTCTGCTGGGTCAACTGACTGGGCAAGCTGGGGACAGAGTTTGCTGGGTCAACTGACTGGAGAAGCTAAGGACAGAGTCAGCTGGGTAGAGAAATGTCAGGTATTAAGAGATCCTGGCCATGGGCCAGGTTCTTATGGTTTATTGAACGGCTAATTATACGATTTACTGTTTTTAATAACGATCTGTCTATTGGAATACACTACATATCCTTGCAAGTTGAGACAAGTGGTTAATGAGAGGTCTGATATGGTGTTGGAGTGCAAAAGAGGGAATATTTATGGAAAGATTAAGAAGTACCCTATACCACCCATTAATATATCCCAACCTATGGTATTTGTACCTGGGGATCAACCACAGCCAACCACCTTAACCTTTAATAACCCAACAGAAGCTGCTGTGCGGATTACCAGTTCCTGTGCTAGACAACACTCCCCACCACTTTTCAAAAGCCTGAACTTGCTAAATATAGAAGACATACACTCATATTATTGTGCCTATTACATATACAGAACATTAAACTCCAATATAAACTCTCCACTTAAGCTTCTCCTCGATAGCTACAACAAAACACACAGTCACAATACAAGGCATAAAGCACTCTTCAACATCCCTCGTGTCAGTCTCATACTATGTAAAAGCGTAATGCACATAAAGGTCCCGAAGATCTGGAATTCACTACCTGAGCCAGTAGAGGATCCACAGACTACTTATAAATTTAGGATTTTGCTTAAAAATCATCTCATCTCTCAGTTAGGGTAAGATATAAACAGCTATTGGAGGATAGATGGGCTAATGAGAGCATAGGCAATGGGGTCGAAGAGGTATGGGGTAGGTTTAAAAATGTAGTGTTAGAGTGTTCAGCAGAAGTTTGTGGTTACAGGAAAGTGGGTGCAGGAGGGAAGAGGAGCGATTGGTGGAATGATGATGTAAAGAAAGTAGTAAGGGAGAAAAAGTTAGCATATGAGAAGTTTTTACAAAGTAGAAGTGATGCAAGGAGGGAAGAGTATATGGAGAAAAAGAGAGAGGTTAAGAGAGTGGGTGAAGCAATGTAAAAAGAGAGCAAATGAGACAGTGGGTGAGATGTTATCAACAAATTTTGTTGAAAATAAGAAAAAGTTTTGGAGTGAGATTAACAAGTTAAGGAAGCCTAGAGAACAAATGGATTTGTCAGTTAAAAATAGGAGAGGAGAGTTATTAAATGGAGAGTTAGAGGTATTGGGAAGATGGAGGGAATATTTTGAGGAATTGTTAAATGTTGATGAAGATAGGGAAGCTGTGATTTCATGTATAGGGCAAGGAGGAATAACATCTTGTAGGAGTGAGGAAGAGCCAGTTGTGAGTGTGGGGGAAGTTCGTGAGGCAGTGAGTAGAATGAAGGGGGTAAGGCAGCCGGGATTGATGAGATAAAGATAGAAATGTTAAAAGCAGGTGGGGATATAGTTTTGGAGTGGTTGGTGATATTATTTAATAAATGTATGGAAGAGGGTAAGGTACCTAGGGATTGGCAGAGAGCATACATAGTTCCTTTGTATAAAGGCAAAGGGGATAAAAGAGAGTGCAAAAATTATAGGGGGATAAGTCTGTTGAGTACACCTGGTAAAGTGTATGGTAGAGTTATTATTGAAAGAATTAAGAGTAAGACGGAGAATAGGATAGCAGATGAACAAGGAGGCTTTAGGAAAGGTAGGGGGTGTGTGGACCAGGTGTTTACAGTGAAACATATAAGTGAACAGTATTTAGATAAGGCTAAAGAGGTTTTTGTGGCATTTATGGATTTGGAAAAGGCATATGACAGGGTGGATAGGGGGGCAATGTGGCAGATGTTGCAGGTGTATGGTGTAGGAGGTAGGTTACTGAAAGCAGTGAAGGGTTTTTACGAGGATAGTGAGGCTCAAGTTAGAGTATGTAGGAAAGAGGGAGATTATTTCTCAGTAAAAGTAGCCCTTAGACAGGGATGTGTGATGTCACCATGGTTGTTTAATATATTTATAGATGGGGTTGTAAGAGAAGTAAATGCGAGGGTCTTGGCAAGAGGCGTGGAGTTAAAAGATAAAGAATCACACATAAAGTGGGAGTTGTCACAGTTGCTCTTTGCTGATGACACTGTGCTCTTGGGAGATTCTGAAGAGAAGTTGCAGAGATTGGTGGATGAATTTGGTAGGGTATGTAAAAGAAGAAAATTAAAAGTGAATACAGGAAAGAGTAAGGTTATGAGGATAACAAAAAGATTAGGTGATGAAAGATTGGATATCAGATTGGAGGGAGAGAGTATGGTGGAGGTGAATGTATTCAAATATTTGGGAGCGGACGTGTCAGCGGATGGGTCTATGAAAGATGAGGTGAATCATAGAATTGATGAGGGGAAAAGGGTGAGCGGTGCACTTAGGAGTCTGTGGAGACAAAGAACTTTGTCCTTGGAGGCAAAGAGGGAATGTATGAGAGTATAGTTTTACCAAAGCTCTTATATGGGTGTGAAGCATGGGTGATGAATGTTGCAGCGAGGAGAAGGCTGGAGGCAGTGGAGATGTCATGTCTGAGGGCAATGTGTGGTGTGAATATAATGCAGAGAATTCGTAGTTTGGAAGTTAGGAGGAGGTGCGGGATTACCAAAACTGTTGTCCAGAGGGCTGAGGAAGGGTTGTTGAGGTGGTTCGGACATGTGGAGAGAATGGAGCAAAACGGGAATGACTTCAGAGTGTATCAGTCTGTAGTGGAAGGAAGGTGGGGTAGGGGTCGGCCTAGGAAAGGTTGGAGGGAGGAGGTAAAGGTTTTGTGTGCGAGGGGCTTGGACTTCCAGCGGGCATGCGTGAGCGTGTTTGATAGGAGTGAATGGAGACAAATGGTTTTTAATACTTGACGTGCTGTTGGAGTGTGAGCAAAGTAACATTTATGAAGGGGTTCAGGGAAACCGGCAGGCCGGACTTGAGTCCTGGAGATGGGAAGTACAGTGCCTGCACTCTGAAGGAGGGGTGTTAATGTTGCAGTTTAAAAACTGTAGTGTAAAGCACCCTTCTGGCAAGACAGTGATGGAGTGAATGATGGTGAAAGTTTTTCTTTTTCGGGCCACCCTGCCTTGGTGGGAATCGGCCAGTGTGTTAACAAAAAAAAAAAATAATAATCTCTCACACCAACCAAAACAACTTCTAATCAATTATATGACCTCTAGTCTATTAAACATCTGTCAATCCATGAAATATTGCTTCTTGAACCGTTGTTATATTGTTTCTATTATATGCAACTTTAAGATAATTATTCTTATTAACGTCCACCTTGACTACCTCACATTAGTGTCTAAGTCGAGGACTTACTATACAGGGACACACAAGATATACAGCGGTACCTTAATTTGTTCCAGAAGGCTGTTCGAGTGCCGATACTGAATGAATTTGTTCCCATAAGGAATAATTTAAATTAGTTTAGTCCATTTCAGACCCCCAAAAATACATATACAAAACCACTCGCAAAAATACACGTACATAATTGTTCGAGTTGGGAAGTGTTCGAAACTCAAGGTACCACTGTACACGAGTTCCACGTGGGTGGAGCATCTTGACGAAGCCTCTGTGCCCGTCTGCCTACATTTTTGTTTTTATTATTCTTGGGAGAAAGAGCTAAACATGTAAGAGGATATACAGGTCCAGGAAAAATGGGAGGTAAACAGGTTCGAATCAAGGTTTGAATGATGAAATTCCTCTTGAAGTGTAGCAATCTAAACTACAGTCAGGTTTCTTGTAGAGTTAGTCAATGTAGCATAATTGGAAATGTAACTCAAAAAATGTATTGGAAACTGAATCCAGTGGACCCTCGAATTTAGTCGTGCCTTTTCTGTATGCAAAACTATTTTTATTATCTATAAAATATATGTTTTGTTAATATTTCCCATAGGAAACAATGTAAATCCAATTAAACCATTCCAGACACCCAAAAATATTACCAAAATATACATTTTATAGATAATAAAAATATTGGCAGTTTGGAGGGATATGTTGTGTATCTTTATACGTATATGCTTCTAAACTGTTGTATTCTGAGCACCTCTGCAAAAACAGTGATAATGTGTGAGTGTGGTGAAAGTGTTGAATGATGATGAAAGTATTTTCTTTTTGGGGATTTTCTTTGTTTTTTGGGTCGCCCTGCCTCGGTGGGTCGCCCTGCCTCGGTGGGTCGCCCTGCCTCGGTGGGTCGCCCTGCCTCGGTGGGTCGCCCCGCCTCGGTGGGTCGCCCTGCCTCGGTGGGTCGCCCTGCCTCGGTGGGGTCGCCCTGCCTCGGTGGGTCGCCCTGCCTCGGTGGGTCGCCCTGCCTCGGTGGGTCGCCCTGCCTCGGTGGGTCGCCCTGCCTCGGTGGGTCGCCCTGCCTCGGTGGGTCGCCCTGCCTCGGTGGGTCGCCCTGCCTCGGTGGGTCGCCCTGCCTCGGTGGGTCGCCCTGCCCCGGTGGGTCGCCCTGCCTCGGTGGGTCGCCCTGCCTCGGTGGGTCGCCCTGCCTCGGTGGGTCGCCCTGCCTCGGTGGGTCGCCCTGCCTCGGTGGGTCGCCCTGCCTCGGTGGGTCGCCCTGCCTCAGTGGGTCACCCTGCCTCGGTGGGAGATGGCCGACTTGTTAAAAAAAAAAATAGCCTTGCATACAGAAAAGGCAGGACGAAATTCGAGGGTCCACTGTATTATGTAACATTTTTCCAGTATATAAGAACCACGATTATATAAGGCATATAATTATTATAATTGTGGGGGAGTGCTAAACCCATATGGTTGTACAGCACTTTGGGGGGGACGCAGAAGGTATTCAGGTTCAATTATTATTATAATCACGGAGTAGCGCTAAACCCATAGGAATTATATGTCAGTAGTGTTACTGTGTAGTATACTACTTAGATAATCCCAAGTACTTAATAAGAACATAAGAAAGAAGGAACACTGCAGCAGGCCTACTGGCCCATGCGAGGCAGGTCCAAGTTACCTCCCGACCTAAACCAATGACGCAACTAGTCAGGTCATCAGCATCAAGGAACCTGCCTTGAGAGGTTAAGATATATAAGACAATGTTTCCAAGCAGTTGTAACATTAGTAAACGGATAGAGCGTAACACAAAGCCTACCCTCGGCACTGACCTTGAGCATAGAAGGCCTAGGTGTGGGGGTAAAAAAAAAGCGTCTTATATGCTGGAAAATATGGTAATATGAAGGCTTTTTTTATTTGCTATTTAAATTTTGGGTGTATGCTTTTTAATCCCATTTATGAAAAAAGTGTATGAGATTTTTTTTATATGAAAATGTGTGGGTAATGTAAGACCATACTTACTCCAAGCCAGCAATTCCTTCCACCACCAGGTCGTCGCTCGTCAGAGTTCCGGTCTTATCGAAACAACACACGTCAATCTTGCCAGCAAACGGAATGCGGAATGGCTCAGTGCAGTAGACAAAGAGCTTGGAGAGGGAGAGGAGTGAAGTGTTGACTGCTAGAGAGAGTTCTATTGGTAATTCCGGTGGTACTACAGATGTCAGGATGAGAGTGCATTCCAGAAACAACTTGTAGCGATTTCTGTTGGGGTCCTCAGTGCCTGCAAGAGTAGTCTGTAGTTACACCTACTGCCTCTGTATCTGACTGAAGAAGTCTACTGTGTAGGTGAAGCATTCCATCAATAACTATACTAACTGTTGCATCTGTGTCTTAATCATTAACCTGTTGCTATTTTATACCATTATCAACAGTTATAGCACAACCAATCACAACAAAGTGAGCAGTTATACTGTGACCAACTATAACAATGCTTATATAACAATGCTTATATAAAGGAGTACATGGCAAATATGAGAGTATAGTGTACAGTAATGTGTATAAACAAGTGTATGGAAGGTAATCAGATTTGATTCAAGGGAGGGCAACCCCAATTCCTCAGATCAAGAGCCCTTTGCCAATGCTGCAGTCTGGACATACCTTTTATCCAGACATAGGAAGCAGCAGCAATGGCGAACACTAACAGGAAGAGAATAAAGGCGAAGGTCTCCAGGTTGTTCGCAGTGACACGACTGACGCCGTAGAGGATGGTGCGCAGGAGCCTGCCCTGCGCCGTGTTGAAGTTGGTGCGCAGCACGTAGCAGACGCAGCCATTGTCGGGCGCTGAAACACGTGTTCTGTACAGTTAAGTCTTCAACTTACAAACACATGAATTGTGAATAATATAATACAGGAAGTCTTATGAACACGTTGGGGACCTGTACTGCGTATAATAATACGTTTACCTGGAGAGAGTTCCGGGGGTCAACGCCCCCGCGGCCCGGTCTGTGACCAGGCCTCCTGGTGGATCAGAGCCTGATCAACCAGGCTGTTACTGCTGGCTGCACACAAACCAACGTACAAGCCACAGCCCGGCTGATCAGGAACTGACTTTAGGTGCTTGTCCAGTGCCAGCTTGAAGACTGCCAGGGGTCTGTTGGTAATCCCCCTTATGTATGCTGGGAGGCATTTGAACAGTTTCGGGCCCCTGACACTTATTGTATGGTCTCTTAACGTGCTAGTGACACCCCTGCTTTTCATTGGGGGGATGTTGCATCGTCTGCCAAGTCTTTTGCTTCGTAGTGAGTGATTTCGTGTGCAAGTTCGGTACTAGTCCTCTAGGATTTTCCAGGTGTATATAATCATGTATTTTCTCCCGCCTGCGTTCCAGGGAATACAGGTTCAGGAACCTCAAGCGCTCCCAGTAATTGAGGTGTTTTATCTCGTATTGTGCGCCGTGAAGGTTCTCTGTACATTTTCTAGGTCAGCAATTTCACCTGCCTTGAAAGGTGCTGTTAGTGTGCAGCAATATTCCAGCTAAATAGAACAAGTGACCCGAAGAGTGTCATCATGGGCTTGGCATCCCCGTTTTGAAGGTTCTCATTATCCATCCTGTCATTTTTTAGCAGATGCGATCGATACAATGTTATGGTCCTTGAAGGTGGATCCTCCGACATGATCACTCCAGGTCTTGACGTTGGTGTTTCGCTCTATTTTGTGGCCAGAATTTGTTTTGTACTCTGATGAGATTTAATTTCCTCATGTTTTACCATATCTGAGTATTGAAATTTCTCATCGTTGAAACTTCATACTGTTTTCTGCAGCCCACTGAAAGATTTGGTTGATGTCCGCTGGAGCCTTGCAGTGTCTGCAATGGGAAGACACTGTTCATGCAGATTCGGGTGTCATCTGCAAAAGGAAAACACAGTGCTGTGGCTGACATCCTTGTCTATGTCGGATATGAGGATGAGGAACAAGATGGGAGCGAGTACTGTGCCTTGTGGAACAGAGCTTTTCACCGTGCCTGCCTCGGACTTTACTCTGTTGATACTACTACTCTGTGTTCTGTTAGTGAGGAAATTATCGATCCATCGACCGACTTTTCCTGTTATTCCTTTGCACGCATTTTGTGCGCTATCACGCCATGGTCACACTTGTCGAAGGCTTTTGCAAAGTCTGTATATATTACATCTGCATTCTTTTTGTCTTCTAGTGCATCTAGGACCTTGTCGTAGTGATCCAATAGTTGAGACAGACAGAAGCGACCTGTTCTAAACCATGTTGCCCTGGGTTGTGTAACTGATGGGTTTCTAGATGGGTGGTGATCTTGCTTCTTAGGACCCTTTCAAAGATTTTTATGATATGGGATGTTAGTGCTATTGGTCTGTAGTTCTTTGCTGTTGCTTTACTGCCCCCTTTGTGGAGTGGGGCTATGTCTGTTGTTTTTAGTAACTGTGGGACGACCCCCGTGTCCATGCTCCCTCTCCATAGGATGGTAAAGGCTCGTGATAGGGGCTTCTTGCAGTTCTTGATGAACACGGAGTTCCATGAGTCTGGCCCTGGGGCAGAGTGCATGGGCATGTCATTTATCGCCTGTTCGAAGTCATTTGGCGTCAGGATAACAAGTCATACAATAATGATATAATAATATTATACACAGTACAAGATATTCTCAACATGTTTGTAAATCAAGGGTTTACTGTACTCATTTTTATTAACATATCGGCTGTTTCCCACAAGGCAGGTGACCCAAAAAAGAAGAAACGCTTTCATCATCATTTACTCCACAGCAAAATAATCTCCGTTATTTCGCTACTCCAATGAAAAAAATCACTGACTTTTTATTGGGGGGGGGGTATCCCAGGTACAGGCGTTTCTCAACTTACAATGGGGTTGTGTTCCAACGACCTCTTGTAAGTTGAAAATATCGCAAGTTGAGCATGAATGTGTTTTTTTTTTATTAATATATCGGGCATTTCCCACCAAGGCAGGGTGGCCTGAAAAAGAAAAACTTTCATCATTCACTCCATCACTGTCTTTCCAGAGGTGCGCTTACACTACAGTTATAAAACTGCAACATTAACACCCTTCCTTCAGAGTGCCGACACTGTACTTCCCATCTCCAGGACTCAAGTCCGGCCTGCCGGGTTCCCTGAATCCCTTCATAAATATTATCCTTCTCACACTCCAACAGCACGTCAAGTCCTAAAAACCATTTGTCTCCATTTGCTGCTATCTAACACGCTCACGCATGCTTGCTGGAAGTCCAAGCCCCTCGCACACAAATAATAATGTATAATGCGGAAGTGTTATCATATTATTATTTAATTTGAAGGATGCCTCCCAGCAAGGTAGGGTGTCCGAAAGAAAAAACACATTCTCCATCATTCATTAAACAGCCATCTTTCCAGAAGTGTGCTGATATTATAATCAGATTACCCTTTTATTGCAACATCCACCCCCACTCCTCCAGAATGAAGTCATTGTACATCCCACCTCCAGGACTCAAGTCTGGCAAACCAACTGCCCTGAATCCCTTCACAGAAGTTACCTCGCTCACACTCCAACAGCACATCCATTGAAAAACTCATAACATGCTCACAAGCCTGTGGATATTAAAGCCCCTAAAAATCTTGCCCTGTTTACATTGCGGGTCCTTGTATGACTAAGACCCGCATCAGGAAACAGTTGTCCTCTTTCTTGACAAACCTTACCTAACCTTTGTTGTATCAGGGAAAACTGAAGACAATTTTTAAAGGAGTGGAGGGGTAAGCCAGCAGAAGGCCTTAGTCAAATGACTAAAAGCTCCAGCTGTGGGTCCTCATATGACTAAGACCAACATCAGGAGACACTTATCCTGTTTCCTGACAAACCTAACCTAACCTCTTTCATTTCCTCCCTCCAACAATTCACAGCTATTTTTTTCTTTAACACACTGGCTGTGTCCCACCAAGGCAGGGTGTCCTGAAAAAGAAGAAACACTTTCACCATCACTCCGTCGCTAACCTCGTAGTCCCGTGACACTTTTGCTGGGAGGAGTGTACTGGACCACCTTGGTGCCGCCGAAGAGGACATGCAGCTTGGCATCCGTCGCCAAGTCCAGCTGGCGGTCCAGCTCGACGGCTTCCAGACTCTCCTTCATCTGTGGAACAGATTCACCTGTGATGCAGGGAAGAAAAAAGTTATTTACCATGACAAACATAAAATAAACAAGATAACTGGACAGATGAACAAAGCACAGATAAAAGTTGTGATGGTGATCCATTATGAATTTATTTGTGATGGTGACCCATTAAGAATATAGCTGTGATGGTGGTCCATTATGGATATAGCTGTGATGGTGGTTCATTATGAATATAGTTGTGATGGTGGGCCATTATGAATATAGCTGTGATGGTGGTTCATTATGGATATAGCTGTGATGGTGGTTCATTATGAATATAGTTGTGATGGTGGGCCATTATGAATATAGCTGTGATGGTGGTTCATTATGAATATTTGCTGTGATGGTGGTCCATTAAGAATATAGTTGTGATGGTGGTTCATTATGAATATAGCTGTGATGGTGGTTCATTATGAATATAGCTGTGATGGTGGTTCATTAAGAATATAGTTGTGATGGTGGTTCATTATGAATATAGCTGTGATGGTGGTTCATTATGAATATAGTTGTGATGGTGGTTCATTATGAATATAGCTGTGATGGTGGTTCATTATGAATATAGTTGTGATGGTGGTCCATTATGAATATAGTTGTGATAGTGGTCCATTATGAATATAGTTGTGATGGTGGTCCATTATGAATATAGTTGTGATAGTGGTCCATTATGAATATAGTTGTGATGGTGGTCCATTATGAATATAGTTGTGATGGTGGTCCATTAAGAATATAGTTGTGATAGTGGTCCATTATGAATATAGTTGTGATGGTGGTCCATTATGAATATAGTTGTGATAGTGGTCCATTATGAATATAGCTGTGATGGTGGTCCATTAAGAATATAGTTGTGATAGTGGTTCATTATGAATATAGCTGTGATGGTGGTCCATTAAGAATATAGCTGTGATGGTGGTTCATTATGAATAATCTTCCCCAAAGCCACCAAATAAAATTAAGAATAATAACTTTGTTTCTAACCTAACCTAACTCACTCACTCACTTCCCACCAGACTGCCATTCCTAAGCTCTTTATTTAACTCTGTATAGATATGGATCAAATTATTAACAAAAACATTGATACCTTCAATAGCTGAAACAATAATAATACATACAGTGGACCCCCGCATAACGATATTAATCCGTTCCTGAGAGCTCATTGTTATGCAAAATTATCGTTATGCGAATGAATTTTCCCCATAAGAAATAATGGAAATCAAATTAATCCGTGCAAGACACCCCAAAGTATGAAAAAAAAAAATTTACCACATGAAATATTAATTTTAATACACACAAACTGAAAAAGGCATGCACAATTACATGACACTTACCTTTATTGAAGATCTGGTGATGATTGATGGGATGGGAGGAGGAGAGAGTCTTAGTGTTTAGAAGGGGAATCCCCTTCCATTAAGACTTGAGGTGTCGAGTCCTTTTCTGGGGTTACTTCCCTTCTTCTTTTAATGCCACTAGGACCAGCTTCAGAGTCACTGGACTTCTGTCGCACAACATATCTGTCCATAGTGGCCTGTACCTCTCGTTCCTTTATGACTTCCCTAAAGTGTTTCACAACATTGTCAGTGTAATAATCACCAGCACGGCTTGCAATAGATGTGTGAGGGTGATTTTCATCCATAAAGGTTTGCACTTTCAGCCACATTGCACAGATTTCCTTAATCTTTGTAGTAGGCAACTTCTTCAATTTCTCTCTCCCCTCCTTCAAACCAGTTTCCTCAGGTCTGGCCTCTTGCTGTTGAAGTTGATCTAGCAGCTCATCAGTGGTTAGTTCTTCATTGTCCTCCTCCACCAACTCTTCCACATCCTCCCCACTAACCTCCAAACCAAGGACTTTCCCAATGCCACAATGGATTCCTCAACTGGCATAGGATTCCCAGGGTTAGCCTCAAACCCTTCAAAATCCCTTTTGTCTACACATTCTGGCCACAGTTTCTTCCAAGCAGAGTTCAAGGTCTTCTTAGTCACTCCCTCCCAAGCTTACCTATAGGTTTACACAATTGAGGATATTAAAGTGATCTCTCCAAAACTCTCTTAGAGTCAGTTGAGTTTCTGAGGTCACTACAAAGCACCTTTCAAACAGAGCTTTTGTGTACAGTTTTTTGAAGTTTGCGATAACCTGCTGGTCCATGGGCTGCAGGAGAGGAGTGGTATTAGGAGGCAAAAACTTCACCTTAATGAAGCTCATGTCCCCATAAAGTCGCTCTGCCAGTCTGTAGGATGACCAGGGGCATTGTCTAACACCAGGAGGCACTTAAGGTCTAATTTCTTTTCAGTTAGGTAATCTTTCACATTGGGGGCAAATGCTTGGTGTAACCAGTCATAGAAAAAGTCCTAGTGACCCATGCCTTACTGTTTGCCCTCCACAGCACACACAAATTAGCCTTGAGGATATTCTTTTGCCTGAACGCTCTGGGAGTTTCTGAGTGATACACTAATAAAGGCTTCACTTTGCAATCACCACTAGCATTGGAACACATCAACAGAGTAAGCCTGTCTTTCATAGGCTTATGTCCTGGGAGTGCCTTTCCTCCTGAGTAATGTAGGTCCTGCTTGGCATTTTCTTCCCAAAACAGGCCTGTTTCATCACAATTAAACACTTGTTCAGGTTTCAGTCCTTCACTGTCTATGTACTCCTTGAATTCCTGCACATATTTTTCAGCTGCTTTGTGGTCCGAACTGGCAGCCTCACCATGCCTTATCACACTATGTATGCCACTACGCTTCTTAAATCTCTCAAACCAACCTTTGCTGGCCTTAAATTCACTCACATCATCACTAGTTGCAGGCATTTTTTTAATTAAATCCTGATGTAACTTCCTAGCCTTTTCACTTATGATCACTTGAGAGATGCTATCTCCTGCTATCTGTTTTTCATTTATCCATACCAATAAGAGTCTCTCAACATCTTCCATCACTTGCGATCTCTGTTTCGAAAACACAGTTGAACCTTTGGCAAGAACAGCTTTCTTGATTGCCATTTTGTTGCCCACAATAGTAGCGATGGTTGATTGGGGTTTATTATACAACCTGGCCAGCTCGGAGACACGCACTCCACTTTCATACTTATCAATGATCTCTTTCTTCATCTCTATAGTAATTCTCACCCTTATTGCTGTAGGGTTGGCACTAGAAGCTTTCTTGGGGCCCATGGTCACTTATTTTGCAGATAAAATCACCAAAAAACACTGTAATAATACGAAATTTTTTGATTGTATGCTTGGATGTTACCGCGGAGGCTGGCTGGTAAACAATGCCACCGGCGGAACATGTGAGGCTGGCTCAGGCCGCACATTAGACGCGTCTCGGACGAACAGCGTTGAGCAGGTTTTTTAGCGGTATGCGAGGCAAAATCTTAGCGATAAAATGTATCGGTATGCGGATTTAACGTTATGTAAGGCCAACGGTATGCGGGGGTCCACTGTATTATTATTTTACTTTGACATGATATACGTATGTACAGAGTAGTATAATAGTTGGGTGTATGTGCCAAAAGCCCCTTTATATGCAGAGCATTTCGGGTAAACTTCAAATTAACTAAAGATTAATAGGGCAATTACGTAATAACAAAGTTGGTGCTCCAGTGTTTTTACTAACTCGACTGATGAAGAGTGAACATATTTCAAGATTGAGGGGACTGATTATCTCCTCTTGCACTGTCTCCAGTTTATCTTTATTAAACTGAAAAGACACTGGTTGGCAAAACGATCTCAAAATAAAGATACCCAGGTGTTATTCGTGCATCTCGTTCATGCACTGACCTGTGAGCATGCTCTCGTCCACGACACACGGGCCACGAAGCAAGAGCAGGTCACATGGAACGAGGTTGTCGTTCTGGCTGCGTCCCACGCTCACCACGTCACCGGGAACCAGCTGGTCCGTCATAATAGAGCGCCATCTACGGTTTCGGTACGCCTGCAAGAAATAACCACTGGGTAGTCAACGTGTAAATCACAGGGAAGCACAGCAGCAGTCATAATGAGCACCGAGGAGCGACGAGTAGCAAAACTTGCCAGTACGAACATTACCGAATGAACAGAGTGCAACAAAAGCATAAATTTCCTTACTGCAGTATACAATAATGTAGTTTATGTGCAATAAAACATTACTCAGCGTGCCTGGTCACAGACCGGACTGTGGGGGGCACTGCCCCCCTGAAACCCTCTCCAGGTATACCCCAGGAATGCAAAACCATAGGGGGAGTTGAATGATAGCTCTAGGTCTCCTGTGGTCGTTTTGCATCTTGTATCACTTGTTGACGATTCGTGCCTATTTTTTTTTTATTAACACACTGGCCGATTCCCACCAAGGCAGGGTGGCCCGAGAAAGAAAAACTTTCACAATCATTCACTCCATCACTGTCTTGCCAGAAGGGTGCTTTACACTACAGTTTTTAAACTGCAACATTAACACCCCTCCTTCAGAGTGCAGGCACTGTACTTCCCATCTCCAGGACTCAAGTCCGGTCTGCCGGTTTCCCTGAATCCCTTCATAAATGTTACTTTGCTCACACTCCAACAGCACGTCAAGTATTAAAAACCATTTGTCTCCATTCACTCCTATCAAACACGCTCACGCATGCCCACTGGAAGTCCAAGCCCCTCGCACACAAAACCTCCTTTACCCCTCCTCCAACCTTTCCTAGGCCGACCCCTACCCCGCCTTCCTCCCACTACAGACTGATACACTCTTTAAGTCATTCTGTTTCGCTCCATTCTCTCTACATGTCCGAACCACCTCAACAACCCTTCCTCAGCCCTCTGGACAACAGTTTTGACAATCCCGCACCTCCTCCTAACTTCCAAACTACGAATTCTCTGCATTATATTCACACCACACATTGCCCTCAGACATGACATCTCCACTGCCTCCAGCCTTCTCCTCGCTGCAACATTCATCACCCATGCTTCACACCCATATGAGAGCGTTGGTAAAACTATACTCTCATACATTCCCCTCTTTGCCTCCAAGGACAAAGTTCTTTGTCTTCACAGACTCCTAAGTGCACCGCTCACCCTTTTCCCCTCATCAATTCTATGATTCACCTCATCTTTCATAGACCCATCCGCTGACACGTCCACTCCCAAATATCTGAATACATTCACCACCTCCATACTCTCTCTCTCCAATCTGATACCCAATCTTTCATCACCTAATCTTTTTGTTATCCTCATAACCTTACTCTTTCCTGTATTCACTTTTAATTTTCTTCTTTTGCATACCCTACCAAATTCATCCACCAATCTCTGCAACTTCTCTTCAGAATCTCCCAAGAGCACAGTGTCATCAGCAAAAAGCAACTGTGACAACTCCCACTTTATGTGTGATTCTTTATCTTTTAACTCCACGCCTCTTGCCAAGACCCTCGCATTTACTTCTCTTACAACCCCATCTATAAATATATTAAACAACCACGGTGACATCACACATCCCTGTCTAAGGCCTACTTTTACTGGGAAATAATCTCCCTCTTTCCTACATACTCTAACTTGAGCCTCACTATCCTCATAAAAACTCTTCACTGCTTTCAGTAACCTACCTCCTACACCATACACCTGCAACATCTGCCACATTACCCCCCTATCCACCCTGTCATATGCCTTTTCCAAATCCATAAATGCCACAAAAACCTCTTTAGCCTTATCTAAATACTGTTCACTTATATGTTTCACTGTAAACACCTGGTCCACACACCCCCTACCTTTCCTAAAGCCTCCTTGTTCATCTGCTATCCTATTCTCCGTCTTACTCTTAATTCTTTCAATAATAACTACCATACACTTTACCAGGTGTACTCAACAGACTTATCCCCCTATAATTTTTGCACTCTCTTTTATCCCCTTTGCCTTTATACAGAGGAACTATGCATGCTCTCTGCCAATCCCTAGGTACCTTACCCTCTTCCATACATTTATTAAACAATTGCACCAACCACTCCAAAACTATATCCCCACCTGCTTTTAACATTTCTATCTTTATCCCATCAATCCCGGCTGCCTTACCTCCTTTCATTTTACCTACTGCCTCACGAACTTCCCCCACACTCACAACTGGCTCTTCCTCACTCCTACAAGATGTTATTCCTCCTTGCCCTATACACGAAATCACAGCTTCCCTATCTTCATCAACATTTAACAATTCCTCAAAATATTCCCTCCATCTTCCCAATACCTCTAACTCTCCATTTAATAACTCTCCTCTCCTATTTTTAACTGACAAATCCATTTGTTCTCTAGGCTTCCTTAACTTGTTAATCTCACTCCAAAACTTTTTCTTATTTTCAACAAAATTTGTTGATAACATCTCACCCACTCTCTCATTTGCTCTCTTTTTACATTGCTTCACCACTCTCTTAACCTCTCTCTTTTTCTCCATATACTCTTCCCTCCTTGCATCACTTCTACTTTGTAAAAACTTCTCATATGCTAACTTTTTCTCCCTTACTACTCTCTTTACATTATCTTTCCACCAATCGCTCCTCTTCCCTCCTGCACCCACCTTCCTGTAACCACAAACTTCTGCTGAACACTCTAACACTACATTTTTAAACCTACCCCATACCTCTTCGACCCCATTGCCTATGCTCTCATTAGCCCATCTAACCTCCAATAGCTGTTTATATCTTACCCTAACTGCCTCCTCTTTTAGTTTATAAACCTTCACCTCTCTCTTCCCTGATGCTTCTATTCTCCTTGTATCCCATCTACCTTTTACTCTCAGTGTAGCTACAACTAGAAAGTGATCTGATATATCTGTGGCCCCTCTATAAACATGTACATCCTGAAGTCTACTCAACAGTTTTTTATCTACCAATACATAATCCAACAAACTACTGTCATTTTGCCCTACATCATATCTTGTATACTTATTTATCCTCTTTTTCTTAAAATATGTATTACCTATAACTAAACCCCTTTCTATACAAAGTTCAATCAAAGGGCTCCCATTATCATTTACACCTGGCACCCCAAACTTACCTATCACACCCTCTCTAAAAGTTTCTCCTACTTTAGCATTCAGGTCCCCTACCACAATTACTCTCTCACTTGGTTCAAAGGTTCTTATACATTCACTTAACATCTCCCAAAATCTCTCTCTCCCCTCTACATTCCTCTCTTCTCCAGGTGCATACACACTTATTATGACCCACTTTTCGCATCCAATCTTTACTTTAATCCACATAATCCTTGAATTTACACATTCATATTCTCTTTTCTCCTTCCATAACTGATCCTTCAACATTACTGCTACCCCTTCCTTAGCTCTAACTCTTTCAGATACTCCAGATTTAATACCATTTATTTCCCCCCACCGAAACTCCCCTACCCCTTTCAGCTTTGTTTCGCTTAGGGCCAGGACATCCAACTTCTTTTCATTCATAACATCAGCAATCATCTGTTTCTTGTCATCCGCACTACATCCACGCATATTCAAGCATCCCAGTTTTATAAAGTTTTTCTTCTTCTCTTTTTTAGTAAATGTCTACAGGAGAAGGGGTTACTAGCCCATTGCTCCCGGCATTTTAGTCGCCTCATACGACATGCATGGCTTGCGGAGGAAAGATTCTTTTCCACTTCCCCATGGACAATAGAAGAAATAAAGAACAAGAGCTATTTAGAAAAAGGAGAAAAACCTAGATGTATGTATATATATATGCATGTGCGTGTCAGTGAAGTGTGACCAAAGTGTAAGTAGGAGTAGCAAGATATCCCTGTTATCTAGTGTGTTTATGAGACAGAAAAGAGACCAGCAATCCTACCATCATGTAAAACAGTTACAGGTTTCTGTTTCACAGTCATCTGGCAGGACGGTAGTACTTCCCTGGGTGGTTGCTGTCTACCAACCTACTACATATTATCAAGCATAAAATAAAGCAACTAGTACCAAGTTGAGTATTTCAGCCAGACTAATACTAATACTAATATTAATACTAATACTAATGCTAATACTAATGCTAATACTAATGCTTGAAGACTAGTTAAGAACTAGAACAGATTATTAAATAGAAGTTTTTAAATGTACCAAAAAGCGAGGTAACTAAATGAACGATAGTACAGTTTTAATTATGAATTTAATAAACACAAAAACTAAGTTAGCTTAATTTTAAATACGCATTAATACAGCGGGACTCCTGTATCTGCGACCAGAGTATAACCCTTAATGAAATATATAACCCTTAATGAAATATATAACCCTTAATGAAATAATTACTATCCTACTGTATAACTATGATATACGCCTTAGTATTAAGTATAATGTAAGTCAATAATGTTAAGTTGGCCCATAATGCCTAGGCATAATAGAGGTTGTCTTTGCATTGCAACCCACTATTGTGAATACAAAATCTCAATGTACAGTGGACCCCCGGTTAACGATATTTTTTCACTCCAGAAGTATGTTCAGGTGCCAGTACTGACCGAATTTGTTCCCATAAGGAATATTGTGAAGTAGATTAGTCCATTTCAGACCCCCAAACATACACGTGCAAACGCACTTACATAAATACACTTACATAATTGGTCGCATTCGGAGGTGATCGTTATGCGGGGGTCCACTGTACTGTTTGCAAATAAATAAATGAATAAATAAACAAATGTTGCTTAATAATGAGCTTAATTAAGTAGTGACGGTGGCAGTTCTGCAAAGCCTAAGCTGTGAAGTGCTTCTAATCAGTGAAAAAGTGATACTCCCCACTTACTGTGCGTAATTTATCAATTAAACATTATAATAGGTGTGTTTGTAAATAAAAAAGGACATACAAAGGGTTCGCTACTGCTCACAGTTTTGGAAAACTATCACCTGCAGATACAGGGTCGTACTGTACTCTAAACTGATTCAGTGGTCTTATGTTAATTTCGATTTGTTAAGCAGTTTTAAACTGACTCGGCATTTCAAGGTTGTGGAATGATTATAGCTTGCCAACATGAACATTACTGAATGAACAGACTGCCACAAAAGATGGTACCTGAATCATATACGGCTTAGCGCCCATCTTGCGGATCTCGGACATGTTGCGCAGTTGTTGTTGTACCAGCGTACACTCGAAGATGACCAGCATGAAGAGTGTGAACAGCGAATAGTACCAATACTCGTCCAAACACCAGAGACCAACACAAAACACCTGAAATACAACACGTGATGAGCTGAAACACCAGAGACCAACACAAAACACCTGAAATAAAACAAATGATGAGTAAACTTAACTAGCGTGGCCATGTCTTGCCAACATCTACACCAAGTATTAATACACACAGACACACCCTGCTTTACACCCTTACAACGATTTACTAATGCAGGAGTTTTTCAGTAACAACCGTTCTTCATTTATACACACTTCCTACAATAAATATACACCTACCATCCGACTTACGACCTGCTCGACTTACGACCACTCGACTTACGACTGTGTTTTTTATGCCAAATTTCTGGGAAATAAACAAGTATTTGTGTTGTACACAGTGTTTATCCTAAACCTTACAGTATAAAACACAGTACTAACAACATAAAAAGTAAAGTAAAACATGAAATACCAAAATAAAACAATAAAATAAAGTCATTACAAAAATGTTTTGTTGATATTCAGTAGTAAAGTTCGACTTACGACCGGTTTCTCGGAACCGAACTTGGTCGTAAGTTGGATGGTAGGTGTACATGTATTTACCACTCACTATAAGCTAAGGACAAAAAAATTTTAAGTAATGTGTGTACTGTACATGCATTTTTTAGGCCTAGTTCTATTGCTCAATATGATAATGTGAACATGTTATCAGGCTTTTATATGCATTTCTTAGACCTAGTTTTCCCTCACTTAACCCGTAAACAGTCCAAACGTATATATACGTTTTTTCAACATTTAAAAGTATGTAAAAAAAGTAGGTCTTCTTTTTGTTTTTTTTTACATTTGAAAATGTGTAAAAAACTTTGATCTACTTTTTTTTGTTATATTTGAAAATATGTAAAAAAAACGTAGATCTACTTTTGTAGCGCTACACATGTGAACGTAGATCTGCTTGGACCGTTTACGGATTAATATGCTAGTGTGGACGTGTTATTAGACTTTTTCGGAATTTGAAGTTAAGAAAAAGACAGTTACACTTAACAACAGTATCCTGGAACCTAACTTGTTATATAAAGAGGGACCCTCTTGTTACTTATTGCAATAATAATAATATACCTTTATATACTACAAGTACTTGATGCAACTTATACAGACCATAGTTGACACCCATGACATACTGCTATATAGAAAGTACCTTGTTATGTTGAGCATTTCCCGCAAATTATGTCAGTTTTGTGCCAGGATGTGACCCACACCAGTCCACTAACACCCAGGATGTGACCCACACCAGTCCACTAACACCCAGGATGTGACCCACACCAGTCCACTAACACCCAGGATGTGACCTACACCAGTCCACTAACACCCAGGATGTGACCCACACCAGTCCACTAACACCCAGGATGTGACCCACACTAGTCCACTAACACCCAGGATGTGACCCACACCAGTCCACTAACACCCAGGATGTGACCCACACCAGTCCACTAACACCCAGGATGCAACCCACACCAGTCCACTAACACCCAGGATGCAACCCACACCAGTCCACTAACACCCAGGATGCAACCCACACCAGTTCCCATTTTACTGATGGGTGAACATGGACAATCAGTGTAAGGAAACACAATGTTTCCACCCCTTCGCTGGGAATCGAACCCGGACCCTCACCGTGTGAAGTGAGAGCTTTTGCCATCAGGCCACGGGGCACCGTAGCTCAGCACTGTATTTAAGAGACAACCTCTAAACCCACAGGGATTTTTACAGTGACTGGGAAATGTTAGGTAATTATCATCATATTCAAGGGAGAGCGATGAACACTTATGGGGTCGTACAGAGCCTGGGTAATGGGAGGTCATCAGGATTGAGCCAAGGAAGGGTAGGGCAGCTCCAATTCCCTAGAACAAGAGCTCTAAACAGGCACCAAAGCACATATGCTAATTTAGGCCCTTCTAATGTTCTGCTGGAGTGTGAGCAAAGTAACATTTATGAAGGGATTCAGGGACACTATCAGTGCCGGATTTGAGTCTTGGAGATGGGAAGTACAGTGTCGGCACTCTGAGTTTACCTGGAGTTTACCTGGAGAGAGTTCCGGGGGTCAACGCCCCCGCGGCCCGGTCTGTGACCAGGGCTCCTGGTGGATCAGAGCCTGATCAACCAGGCTGTTACTGCTGGCTGCACGCAAACCAACGTACGAGCCACAGCCCGGCTGATCAGGAACCGACTTTAGGTGCTTGTCCAGTGCCAGCTTGAAGACTGCCAGGGGTCTGTTGGTAATCCCCCTTATGTATGCTGGGAGGCAGTTGAACAGTCTCGGGCCCCTGACACTTATTGTATGGTCTCTTAACGTGCTAGTGACACCCCTGCTTTTCATTGGGGGGATGTTGCATCGTCTGCCAAGTCTTTTGCTTTCGTAGTGAGTGATTTTCGTGTGCAAGTTCGGTACTAGTCCCTCTAGGATTTTCCAGGTGTATATAATCATGTATCTCTCCCGCCTGCGTTCCAGGGAATACAGGTTCAGGAACCTCAAGCGCTCCCAGTAATTGAGGTGTTTTATCTCTGTTATGCGTGCCGTGAAGGTTCTTTGTACATTTTCTAGGTCAGCAATTTCACCTGCCTTGAGGGGTGCTAATGTTGCAGTTTATACCTGTAGTGTAAGCGCACCTCTGGCAACAGTGATGGAGTGAATGATGGTGAAAGTTTTTCTTTTTTGGGCCACCCTGCCTTGGTGGGAGACGGCCGCTATGTTAATAATAAAAAAAATAATAATCTAACATACTAGTGACCTTAGTTGGCAACAAGGTTAGAATGCTAACCTTATTAAGTAGTAGTACAGTGGACCCCCGGTTTACGATATTATTTCATTCCAGAAGTATGTTCAGGTGCCAGTACTGACCGAATTTGTTCCCATAAGGAATATTGTGAAGTAGATTAGTCTATTTCAGACCCCCAAACATACACGTACAAACGCACTTACATAAATACACTTACATAATTGGTCGCAGTGGGAGCTGATCGTAAACCGGGGGTCCACTGTATAGCTTACCACATGTCTATCTTGTTTTTACAATAAAAATGTACATCTTTTTCTTTTTAACCCTTTGACTGTCGCAACCCCCAATCCTGAGGTGTCTCCTGGTGTCGCAAAATTTAAAAAAAAAAATTATTTTTTCTTATGAAATGATAGATAATCTTTTCCAGATTGTAATGACACCAAAAAAACGAAATTTGATGGAAAACTGATGGACTTACGCTCTCGCGAAGTTAGCGACCTCAGCGCTGTTTACAAATCGGCGATTTCGCCCACTTTGAGCCCTATTTACGGCTAATTCCATTGTTCCAGTCGCCCAAACTCATAGCTATTTCTTTAGAACTCCATTTTTTCTATCGATTGAGTACAAGAAACTGCCCATTTACTGATTTCAACTACCTAATAATGTGGTCAGAAATTTGCAATTTGGCCAATTTCACGAAAACTAAAAAATATGACAATTTCAAAATAAGGTTCAGAATGAACAATGCAGACATTCCTGGCTCTAAAATACCATTTTCTTTGTTCATCAGTCATGTCTCCAGGCCCCTCTGATATTACTCTTGCTTTCTATTTTGAATTTTTATTCAAACAAAAAATAGAAGACTTACTATTATGCAGACTACTGCAATACTGTAATAATTGTGTAAATAATGTCAACCCATTCATGACTGAATATTAGAATGGCTAGTTGGACATTTATTGGACAATGATGTCATTTGTTTACTTTTGAACATTGGCAAAAATCAAACATTTCCCCAACTTTGAGCTCCATTTCTAGGATCTTTTTATAGTAAAATCAATCAAAATCACCTCTATTTCTATAATTTGTTTTCCATTCTATCAAATGAAACCAAGAAAACGAGAATACAACCATAAATACTATACGAAAATAGACCACAAAATCGGCATTTTAATTAAAAAGAACGGGCGGAGTTTTTTTTTTTTCTCATTATGCACTGCGTGCTCCAGGATTTTTTTTATATGGTGCACACTGACCACACAGACCCATTCTCTCACATGTGGGCCTACCAGCTTTCTCCTGCTTGATTTGAAGCCGCTAGAATTTATGAGTATATATACGTCAAACACGGTACCTCGTAAGACGTATATATACGGCCGCGACAGTCAAAGGGTTAATGAACCGGCTGTGTCCCACTGAGACAGGGGGACCTAAAAAGAAAAGAAAAACTTTCTATTTTTAAAGATAAGATAAGATTAGATTTCATTCGGATTTTTAACCCCGGAGGGTTAGCCACCCAGGATAACCCAAGAAAGTCAGTGCGTCATTGAGGACTGTCTAACTTATTTCCATTGGGGTCCTCCTTAATCTTGTCCCCCAGGATGCGACCCACACCAGTCGACTAACACCCAGGTACCTATTTGCTGCTAGGTGAACAGGACAACAGGTGTAAGGAAACGTGTCGAAATGTTTCCACCCGCCGGGAATCGAACCCGGGCCCTCCGTGTGTGAAGCGGGAGCTTTAGCCACCAGGAGAAGGGGTTATTAGCCCCTTAAATGTATTATATATTTTTTATTAACACAGCAGCCATTTCCCACTGCGGCAAGGTGACCCCAAAAAAAAATACACACTTTCATCATCACTCCATCACTGTCTTGCCAGCGGATTCACCTAAGCCCTGAACCCACAAGGATCATACAGCACTGAGGTCTACCTTAAACAAGAACTTATATGGCAAAGGGGCTCTAGTCCATAAAATTACCATCAATGCCCTAAGATAAAGCCCCCTTAGCCCCTTTCTAACCAGGTTACCACCCCGAAAGCCCCTCGAATATAAAGTTCTGGAGTCGTCCCCGAGGGAGGTACAGGAAGTTTTCAATTTACAAACATGTTGGGGACCTGTATTGTATATAATGATATTACTGTATACACAATACAGAAGATTATCAACGTGTTTAAGTCGAGGACTCACTGTCCAGTGGTTGACTTATGAACTAGTACGCACCTGGAACACGAAGAATGGTGCTGTGGCTCTTTCCTTGAAAAGTTCAGTGAATTCAGGAACGTCCATCTGAAGGCTGAAATGTGAAAACAAATGTTTGTAAGATAAGGCAGGAATGTTGCAATTCACAATACCATGTAATCTATGAGGCAGGGATCTTGCAATTCACAGTACCGTGTAATCTATGAGGCAGGGATCTTGCAATTCACAGTACCGTGTAATCTATGAGGCAGGGATCTTGCAATTCACAATACCATGTAATCTATGAGGCAGGGATGTTGCAATTCACAGTACCGTGTAATCTATGAGGCAGGAATGTTGTGATTCACAGTACCATGTAATCTATGAGGCAGGAATGTTGTGATTCACAGTACCATGTAATCTATGAGGCAGGAATGTTGCAATTCACAATACCATGTAATCTATGAGGCAGGAATGTTGCAATTCACAATACCATGTAATCTATGAGGCAGGGATGTTGCAATTCACAATACCATGTAATCTATGAGGCAGGGATCTTGCAATTCACAGTACCGTGTAATCTATGAGGCAGGAATGTTGCAATTCACAATACCATGTAATCTATGAGGCAGGGATCTTGCAATTCACAAGTACCGTGTAATCTATGAGGCAGGAATGTTGCAATTCACAATACCGTGTAATCTATGAGGCAGGGATCTTGCAATTCACAATACCGTGTAATCTATGAGGCAGGAATGTTGCAATTCACAATACCATGTAATCTATGAGGCAGGATCTTGCAATTCACAGTACCGTGTAATCTATGAGGCAGGAATGTTGCAATTCACAATACCATGTAATCTATGAGGCAGGGATCTTGCAATTCACAGTACCGTGTAATCTATGAGGCAGGGATGTTGCAATTCACAATACTGTGTAATCTATGAGGTTTACCCACTTCTAACAAGAGAACTTAAATTAACAATGGTGAACGACCAGTACTGTGAATTCTGGAACAAAAAACAAAAATGATCATCCATAAAATGTGGGACATTAAAATTCAGAATGCCATTTTTAAACTTTTAGCAAGACAGCTATTAACTGAATAATGGTCAATGCTTAGGTTTTTTTTGTCCCCCACCTGGCAAAAAGACTAACTCAGAGTGAAAAAATTATTTAATGAACACGAGGAAACTCGGGACCAAACTGACATCACTGTGATGAAAATAAAAAGCAAATACATGTATAACAATTCTATTTCTGATAGATATTCCCTAATCTATTTAAATCCATCTGTCTTTGATAGATCCTCCCTAATCTACCGTACTTCTCATTTAAAACCGTCTATCTTACAGACCCTACCTAACGTACCATACTTCCCATGTAAACTCATCTATGTTTGATAGATCCTCCCTAATCTACCGTACTTCCCATTTAAAACCATCTATCTTACAGACCCTACCTAACGTACCATACTTCCCATGTAAACTCATCTATGTTTGATAGATCCTCCCTAATCTAACATACTTCCCATCTATCTTACAGACCCTACCTAACGTACCATACTTCCCATGTAAACTCATCTATGTTTGATAGACCCTCCCTAATCTACCATACTTCCCATCTATCTTAGAGACCCTACCTAATGTACCATACTTCCCATGTAAACTCATCAATGTTTGATAGATCCTCCCTAATCTACCATACTTCCCATCTATCTTAGAGACCCTACCTAATGTACCATACTTCCCATGTAAACTCATCAATGTTTGATAGACCCTCCCTAATCTACCATACTTCCCATCTATCTTACAGACCCTACCTAACGTACCATACTTCCCATGTAAACTCATCTATGTTTGATAGATCCTCCCTAATCTACCATACTTCCCATCTATCTTACAGACCCTACCTAACGTACCATACTTCCCATGTAAACTCATCTGTGTTTGATAGATCCTCCCTAATCTACTTCTCATTTAAACCCATCTATCTGATAGATCCTCCCTAATCCACCACAGTTACTCCTTACATGAGAATCTATTACCATGTATCGCTCAACTGGTGTTTTGATCAACTCTTTCTATTTCAACTAAAATCAACCACCGTGGCCCTTCAAGAATCGGTAATAAAATAATTATTTTTTTTATAGAAAAAACTTTGTTTTTGGAGAACGAAATACAGGGAAAATAATACACAGAAAAGTTATTTGTCGTGTATAAAACCAGTGTATATACAGCAGGGCCCCGCTTTACGGTGGTAGCCTGGAACCTAACCCGCCGTATAAGTGGGGCCCTCCTGTACACAGATGTTATTTTTGTGGGTATACACAGATGTGTAGCCCTTCATGTATACATAGTGTAAGGTTTATCTTAGGGACTAAAGTACAGTATTACTGATATTCATGTACAAGTGTACTGTGGTCTTAATGATCAGTGTACAAGTGTATTGTGATCTTAATGACCAGTGTACATGTGTACCATGGTCTTAATGATCAGTGTACAAGTGTATTGTGATCTTAATGACCAGTGTACAGGTGTATTGTGATCTTAATGATCAGTGTACAAGTGTATTGTGGTCTTAATGATCAGTGTACAAGTGTATTGTGGTCTTAATGATCAGTGTACATGTGTATTGTGGTCTTAATGATCAGTGTACAAGTGTATTGTGGTCTTAATGATCAGTGTACAAGTGTATTGTGGTCTTAATGATCAGTGTACATGTGTATTGTGGTCTTAATGATCAGTGTACAAGTGTATTGTGGTCTTAATGATCAGTGTACAAGTGTATTGTGGTCTTAATGATCAGTGTACAAGTGTATTGTGGTCTTAATGATCAGTGTACAAGTGTATTGTGGTCTTAATGATCAGTGTACAAGTGTATTGTGGTCTTAATGATCAGTGTACAAGTGTATTGTGGTCTTAATGATCAGTGTACAAGTGTATTGTGGTCTTAATGATCAGTGTACAAGTGTACTGTGGTCTTAATGATCAGTGTACAAGTGTACTGTGGTCTTAATGATCAGTGTACAAGTGTATTGTGGTCTTAATGATCAGTGTACAAGTGTATTGTGGTCTTAATGATCAGTGTACAAGTGTACTGTGGTCTTAATGATCAGTGTACAAGTGTACTGTGGTCTTAATGATCAGTGTACAAGCGTACTGTGGTCTTAATGATCAGTGTACAAGTGTATTGTGGTCTTAATGATCAGTGTACAAGTGTATTGTGGTCTTAATGATCAGTGTACAAGTGTACTGTGGTCTTAATGATCAGTGTACAAGTGTATTGTGGTCTTAATGATCAGTGTACAAGTGTATTGTGATCTTAATGACCAGTGTACAGGTGTACTGTGGTCTTAATGATCAGTGTACAAGTGTATTGTGATCTTAATGACCAGTGTACATGTGTACTGGGGTCTTAATGATCAGTGTACAAGTGTATTGTGGTCTTAATGACCAGTGTACATGTGTACCATGGTCTTAATGATCAGTGTACAAGTGTACTGTGGTCTTAATGAGCCGTGTACAGGTGTACCGTGGTCTTAATGACCATTATGCACGAGTCTCAAAGCCCCACATTGACGTACGACCTTCAACCTCATGTTACATGTACAGGGATGCACTAAATCCACAGGGGTCATATACAGCCTGGGAGGCATTTAGGTTCGATCCAAGGAAGGCCAAGTCGAATTGGTTTAACAATCCCTCACAGATATCAAACAACCTCCCTCAAAAGAGTTCAATTTCAGCTACTGACTCGTTCACGCCATATTTCTGCTCGGCGGCAGCGAGGTCTGCGTCCTCCTGATAGCCCCGCCATTCTGCATATGTCCGCAGTGGAAGGTCGACTGGAAACTGCAGCCCGACGAACTGTTTCTTCTCCTCGCCATCCCAGATATATTTGGCTTTTTGAAATGTGAACCACAGCGTCTCCGAGGAGTCCTTGTCGATCTGTTGAATATTTAGTGAACTGATGTCAGTTTACAGTGCTCCTTGACTCACAACTGGTTCATTGGAACATAACCCCATTGTAAGTCAAAAATACAGTGCAATTTTTGTTAATGCGATTGAAAAACGTACAGTCTAGATTGAATATCATGTGGAAAAGCCTTTATGGTACGTGATATTCAATTTGGGATTAATTTTTCCAGTTGCACTGACAAAAAAATCACACTACGTAGGGAAGCTTTAACCCTTTGACTGTTTTGGTCATATATATATACGTCTTACGCGCCACTGTTTCGGATGTATTTATACACGTAAATTCTAGCAGCTTCAAATCAAGCAGGAGAAACCTGGCAGGCCCACACGTGAGAGAATGGGTCTGTGTGGTCAGTGTGCACCACATAAAAAAAGTCCTGCAGCATACAGTGCATAATGAAAAAAAAAACAGACTGTTTTTTTGGATTAAAATGCTGACTTTGAGGTGTATTTTCGTATAGTATTTATCGTTGTATTCTAGTTTTCATGGTCTCATGTGATAAAATGGAAAACATATTAGAGAAATAGAGACGATTTTGATTAGTTTCACAATGAAAACAACCTTGAAATTGAGCTCAAAGTAGCGGAAATGTTCGATTTTTACCAATGTTCAGAAGTAAGCAAATCACACCACACGTCCAATACACATCAACTGGGGAGTCTAATATTCTTTCACTAGTGCACTGATATTATTTATACCATTTTTACAATAATGCAGTAGTCTGCATAAGAGTAAATTTTGTATTTTTTGTATGAATAAAAAATCAAAATAGAAAGCAACAATAATATAAGAGGGGCCTAGAGACGTGACTAATGAACAGAGGATATGTTATTTTAGTGCCAAGAATGTCTACATTGTTTATTCTGGACCCTATTTGGAAATTGGCATCTTTTTTAATTTGCGTGAAATTGGCCAAATTGCCAATTTCTGACCACTTTATTGGGTAGTTCAAATAGGTAAATGGGCAGTTTCTTGTACTCAACTGATAGAAAAAGTGGAGTTCTAAAGAAATCGCTTTGAGTTTGGTCAACTGGAACATCGGAATTGGCCAAAAACAGGGCTCAAAGTCAGCGAAATCGCCAATGCGTATATGTCGCCGAGACCGCTAACTTCGCGGGAGCGTAATTCCGTGAGTTTTCGACCAAATTTCGTACTTTTGGTATCATTACCACCGGGAAAAGATTCTCTATCATTTCATAAGAAATTTTTTTTTTTTTTTCAAAAAATTTTGCGACACAGAATGACAGTTTCAGAAAGGGGCCTGCGACAGTCAAAGGGTTAAAAGAGAGATGACTGTATACAGAGGAGCTTTATAAGAGCTGATTGTACAGAGAAGAGCTTTTTAAGAGCTGAGTGTATATACAGGAGCTTTATAAGAGCTGACCTCACATTAAAAATTCCACGAAGAATTTAAATCACACTCACCACAGTCCTATGCACTTTGACAAGCTCTGGGGAGCCGTTGTTGGGCGTGGGAACAACCTTGGCCACTGTCGCTACCATTGGGTTCCTCTCCTGCAGAAAACAAACAAAATTACCACTCAATCATGCAGCTGCGCTAAATCTGCATGGGGTCGTAAGACTGCATGTATTATCATTATTATGAGGGGCTGCTAAACCTGAAGGGATTATGCTGTGCCTGTGGGGGGGGGGAATGGAAGGCATTTAGGGTCAATTCAGGGAACTATAGCACAGATCCAATTCCCTAGATCAAGAGCCCCTCACCAGCATTAATTAACCTGGAGGAAACAAGGTTCAATCCAAGGAAGGGCAGCTCCAATTTCTTGGATCAAAAGCCCTTCATTAGCAAGACCATTGTACTGAAAAGAATGGAACACTGCAGCACAGGCTGTAATTACAGGCTGTAATTGCTCTAAATCATTAATTCCCTCCATTACACTTATTTAAGCCATATAGAATGAACTAACGAGATATTAAATTATCCTAAATAACAAAAAGGCACAATACCGTGACTGGAACGATACACAAATAACCCGCACATAAAAGAGAGAAGCTTACGACGACGTTTCGGTCCGACTTGGACCATTGACAAAGTCACACTGTGAGTTTGTCAATGGTCCAAGTCGGACCGAAACGTCGTCGTAAGCTTCTCTCTTTTATGTGCGGGTTATTTGTGTATTAAATTATCCTGTTTGTCCAAAATTATTGCCCATCCTAACTTAGTCTCAAGTTTGTCCCAAATTATTGTCCTCTTAATCTTAAGTTAGTCTTATATATCAACATATAAATCTAATGTCATTCATTATCTTTTGTACAACCACTGTATCATACTGAAATAAATTATTATTATTATTAATATTAAGCTATGAAAAATTAGTACACAGTCAGCTGGCCTACAGATTGCAATTATTAGTAAATGCACTTGAAAGAGCTCATTCAAAATTGAATAGGCCTTGGAAAGGCCTTCATGATACACTCTGTTCAATTCTGGATGATTTTTTCCAATTGCATCTACAAAACAAAAAATTCCCATTATATAGGATGAGCTTTATAAGAGCTGACTGTATATTGAGCTTTATAAAGTGACTGCATATTAAGGAGCTTTATTAGAGAAATGACTGTATATAGAGCTTTACAAGAGAAATTGACTGCATTTAGAGCATTACGAGAAAGAGTCCTGTATACAGAGGAGCTGCATAAGAGCTGACTGTACCCTGATAACTTTACAAGGGAATTCATTTGTAAAGGCAGGAATGGGAGGCAAAAATCCCAATAATTTATAAATCTCAAAAATGGTTTCAGCAAATAAGCCGGACAAAAATTCAAGTGAGAATGATGGGATCTGAGGAAAATATTGAATAAGGCATACAGTGGAACCCCAAATATCAGCTGCTGCATTTATCACCCGAATCGTATTTAGGCCGAAATTTTGCTCTGTATTTCGACCGGTGCCTTTCAAATTGGCCATTTTATATGCGTCAGCCCACCTCCCGCTGGGACGCCGTTGCGGAGGCGAGTCAGACTCCCTGCGTCTCTCAGTGAATGAGTGTATACTTCACAAATTTTTCCAAACATTCCCTTAAAATTCATTGGTTTTTGTGCTTGTTTATTAAGCGCGACTGTGAAGTAAGTCACCATGGGCCTGAAGAAAGTTCCTAGTAAAGTTCCTTTGGTAAAGAAAGTGAGAAACACGATGGAATTTAAGAAAGAAGTTACTGAATAATATGAGAGTGGTGTTCGAGTGCTAGACCTTGCCAGGATGTATGGGAGGGAGTGTAGCAGGGAAACAGGGAGTGTGGAAGGGAGGCAGAGAGTGTAGCAGGCAGGCAGGGAGTGTAGCAGGCAGGCAGGGAGTGTAGCAGGCAGGCAGGGAGTATAGTAAGTAGGCAGGGAGAGTAGTAAGCAGGCAGGGAGTGTAGCAGGCAGGCAGGGAGTGTAGCAGGCAGGTAGGGAGTGTAGTAGGCAGGCAGGTAGTGTAGCAGGCAGGTAGGGAGTGTAGCAGGAAGGCAGGGAGTGTAGCAGGCAGGTAGGGAGTGTAGTAGGCAGGCAGGTAGGGAGTGTAGCAGGAAGGCAGGGAGTGTAGCAGGCAGGCAGGGAGTGTAGTAGGCAGGCAGGTAGTGTAGCAGGCAGGTAGGGAGTGTAGCAGGAAGGCAGGGAGTGTAGCAGGCAGGGAGGGAGTGTAGCAGGCAGGCAGGGAGTGTAGCAGGCAGGGAGGGAGTGTAGTAGGCAGGCAGGGAGTGTAGCAGGCAGGCAGGGAGTGTAGCAGGCAGGGAGGGAGTGTAGCAGGCAGGGAGGGAGTGTAGTAGGCAGGGAAGGAAGTAACCCCAGAGAGCTTTGATACCCGAAGTCCTTATGGCAGGAAATTCCACTTCCAAACAATAATCAGACGTCCCTCTCTCCTCCTCGTCGTCTTCCATAAGTCAACAAGAGTCTTCAGTAAACGTCTGTAATAGTGATTTAAATGTTCATTTACTTATTTTATTTAGTTCTCATTGTTTTGTGTATGTAAAACTATAATTTGTAGATGAATGGTTCAGAGAACCGACATGTTGATAAATTAGACACATGTGCAACTCTTGGGTATCTTTATTGAGGAAACGTTTCGCCACACAGTGGCTTCATCAGTCCATACAAAGGAGAAACTTGAAGAACAGGAGGAGAATGAGGTAATCAGTCCCTCAACCTTGAGTCGATGTGGTCAGTCCATCAATCTTGAATAGAATATGGCATACGTGTGGAGAAGGAGCTTATAAACCGTATGGCAGGAGAGGTGCAGCAGTCATAGGCGGTGTCACATTTGTTCAATGTGGAAGTAGGTTGTGCCCAAGAATTAGGATGGACTGACCACATCGACTCAAGGTTGAGGGACTGATTACCTCATTCTCCTCCTGTTCTTCAAGTTTCTCCTTTGTATGGACTGATGAAGCCACTGTGTGGCGAAACGTTTCCTCAATAAAGATACCCAAGAGTTGCACATGTGTCTAATTTATCAAAACTAATTAATCTTTAAAAAAATATATTTTTTGTTAATATTTTTGGGTGTCTGGAACGTATTAATTTTATTTACATTATTTCTTATGGGAAATATTATTTCGATTTTCAGCCGACCTTCTGGAACGTATTACGGCCGACATTTGGGGTTCTACTGTATTTAGCACTTGGATGACTTATTGAGAAAAAATTCCACGATGAATTTCTTCCGTCCTGAAGAACTGGATTATTATTATAATTAAAAAAAGTGCTAAACCAGCAAGGGTCATACAGCGCAGTAAAGAACTGAAGAAATCATAAAATCAATCATTGGTGACAGTTCCGTAATGAAATATAATTGTATTTTATACAACATAAATAAACAGATGGATGGGAGGCTCGAACTGTAGTCTGACAAGCATAGGCCAGTAGGCCTACTGCAGCATTCCTTCTTTCTTACTAGTGGAAAACAGAAGAACGGTAAGACATGTGACCTCTTCAAGTGAGAGAATTATCTCACCTCTCCCCAAGTGTCTCTCGCCTCCCCCCAAGTCTCTCTCACCTCCCCCCAAGTGTCTCTCACCTCCCCCCAAGTGTCTCTCACCTCCCCCCAAGTGTCTTACCTCCCCCCAAGTGTCTTCACCTCCCCCAAGTGTCTCTCACCTCTCCCAGGTGTTCACCTTCCCCCAGGTGTCTCTCCTCCCCCCAAGTGTCTCTCACCTCCCCCAAGTGTCTCTCACCTCCCCCCAGGTGTCTCTCACCTCCCCCCAAGTGTCTCTCACCTCCCCCAAGTGTCTCTCACCTCCCCCTAAGTGTCTCTCAACCTCCCCCAAGTGTCTCTCACCTCCCCCAATGTGTCTCTCACCTCCCCAGGTGCTCTCACCTCCCCCCAAGTGTCTCTCACCTCCCCCCAAGTGTCTCTCACCTTCCCCAAGTGTCTCTCACTCCCCCAAGTGTCTCTCACCTCCCCCAGGTGTCTCTCACCTCCCCCAAGTGTCTCTCACCTCCCCACAAAGTGTTTCTCACCTCCCCCAAGTGTCTCTCACCTCCCCCCAAGTGTCTCTCACCTCCCCCAATGTGTCTCTCACCTCCCCCAAGTGTCTCTCACTCCCGCAAGTGTCTCTCACCTCCCGCCAAGTGTCTCTCACCTCCCCCCAAGTGTCTCTCACCTCCCCCCAAGTGTCTCTCACTCCCCAGGTGTCTCTCACACCTCCCCAGGTGTCTCGCACCTCCCCCAGGTGTCTCTCACCACCCCAGGTGTCTCTCACCTCCCCCCAAGTGTCTCTCACTCCCCCAAAGTGTCTCTCACCTCCCCCAGGTGTCTCTCACCTCCCCAGGTGTCTCTCCTCCCCCCAAGTGTCTCTCACCTCCCCAGGTGTCTCTCACCTCCCCGGTGTCTCTCACTCCCCCAAGTGTCTCTCACTCCCCCAAGTGTCTCTCACTCCCCCAGGTGTCTCTCACCTCCCCCCAAGTGTCTCTCACCTCCCCCAGGTGTCTCTCACTCCCCAGGTGTCTCTCACCTCCCCCAAGTGTCTCTCACCTCCCCCCAGTTCTCTCACCTCCCCAAAGTGTCTCTCACCTCCCCAGGTGTCTCTCCACCTCCCCAGGTGTCTCTCACCTCCCCCCAAGTGTCTTCACCTCCCCGGTGTCTCTCCACTCCCCCAGGTGTCTCTCACCTCCCCCAAGTGTCTTCACCTCCCCCCAAGTGTCTATCTCACCTCCCCCAATGTGTTCTCTCACCTCCCCAGGTTGTCTCTCACCTCACCCCCAGTGTCTCTCACCTCCCCCCAGGTAAGACCCACGTCCCCCCGGATGTCTCACCTTCCTACAGGTCAGGAGACAGTGGACCTGGACTGACCAGTGACAGAAGAGACAGGTCAGGACCTGGACACAACCTGTGACGACTAAGACAATCAGTCCCACCTCGAAGTTTTCCTCCCAACTGTACACCCACGCCCACGCCCACGCCCACGCGGCGTACACCAGCAGGAAGGGGAAGACATAGCCGTGTAATAGCAGCGGTCGAGGGACGTAGAGACCCACAGACTGGACAAGATCGTCGATACAGCTGTCAGAAGCAGCCATTAAGACGGTACCAGACGACGCTTATAAACACACATCGTCCCGATCCTCTCATTCCTTTCACTAACTTAACTCTTGTTTTGTATAATTTTGCGCTGCTCACTATCAGAATTTAAATATTAATTCTTGCTTTCATCGGTCTTGTATATGTTATTATTCGTAATTTAAGATTTTAATGTATTTATGGTTTTATCGATGTGTTTAAAGTTGAAGGCAAAGTCAAGGAAACGAAAAGTTTACAGTGTCCCGACCCTCTCATCTATTATATTAAATTACTTTTCATTAATTACTATTCTGCCTCATACTAACCAAATTCCCTCCATCAACTCCTAAACATCTCACTTTTATTATAAATATCACCAAAAATGTTCTAAAATTTAAGTTAATTTGTAATTACATCATTATATTGAGTCAAAACCAAAGTCTAGGAAACAAACAAATGCGCCATCCCAATTCTTTCTCAAGTTCACATATATTTTATCCCCCTCAAATAATATTTCTATAACATTCACATTAAGAAAAATCACTCATAATTTCTCATATTTATTATATCTATCCGTAAAGTGAAAGTTAATTGTGATCACATTATTATATTTAGAGTCGAAGCCAAAGTCAAGGGAAAGAAAAGGCTACATCGTCCCGATCCTCTCACCCATTACACCTACATAACATCCTCCTTAACAAAAGAAATAATAATTATGTCATATTATCCAAACTCATAATCAAACTCTGACGTATTTCTCCTTTTATTACATATATAATTTAAAACGTTTTCTAATAAAAACAATGGTATATTCTAAGTCGAAGTCAAGGATACACAGACAAACAAGTTACAGGTGGTAGTAAACAAAAGAATCTTGTTTTGCGCTCAACTTATTATTATTATTATTATTATTATTATTATTATTATTATTATATTAAAAATTAGACATTTTATCTTAAAGTTTCCCCGCATTCCTATACAACCTCCAGGTATACTCCCTCCAGGTATACAACTTCCAGGTATACAACTTCCAGGTATACTCCCTCCAGGTATACAACTTCCAGGTATACAACTTCCAGGTATACTCCCTCCAGGTATACAACCTCCAGGTATACAACTTCCAGGTATACTCCCTCCAGGTATACAACTTCCAGGTATACAACCTCCAGGTATACAACTTCCAGGAATACTCCCTCCAGGTATACAACCTCCAGGTATACACTCCAGGTATTACAACTTCCAGGTAATTACTCCTCCAGGTATCAAACTCCAGGGTATACAACTTCCAGGAATAACTCCCTCGGTATACAACCTCCAGGTATACAACTTCCAGGTATAACAACTTCCAGTATACTCCTCCAGGTATACAACCTCAGGTATACAACTTCAGGTATACTCCCTCCAGGTATACATCCTCCAGGTATACAACTTCCAGGAATATCCCTCCAGTATACAACCATCCAGGTATACAACTCCAGGTATACAACCTTCCAGGAATACTCTCCAGGTTTTTACAACTTCCAGGTATACAACTTCCAGGTATACTCCCTCCAGGTATACAACCTCCAGGTATACAACTTCCAGGTATACAACCTCCAGGTATACTAACTTCCAGGTATACAACCTCCAGGTATACAACTTCCAGGAATATCCCTCCAGGTATCAACCTTCCAGGTATTACAACCTCCAGGTATACAACTTCCAGGAATACTCCCTCCAGGTATACAACCTCCAGGTATACAACCTCCAGGTATACAACTTCCAGGAATACTCCCTCCAGGTATACAACCTCCAGGTATACAACTTCCAGGTATACAACTTCCAGGTATACTCCCTCCAGGTATACAACTTCCAGGAATACTCCCTCCAGGTATACAACCTCCAGGTATACAACCTCCAGGTATACAACTTCCAGGTATACTCCCTCCAGGTATCAACCTCCAGGTATACAAACTTCCAGGTATACTCCCTCCAGGTATACAACCTCCAGGTATACAACTTCCAGGTATACTCCCTCCAGGTATACAACCTCCAGGTATACAACTTCCAGGTATACTCCCTCCAGGTATACAACCTCCAGGTATACAACTTCCAGGTATACTCCCTCCAGGTATACAACCTCCAGGTATACAACTTCCAGGTATACAACCTCCAGGTATACAACTTCCAGGAATACTCCCTCCAGGTATACAACCTCCAGGTATACAACCTCCAGGTATACAACTTCCAGGAATACTCCCTCCAGGTATACAACCTCCAGGTATACAAACTCTCAGGTATACAACTCCAGGTATACTCCTCCAGGTATACAACCTCCAGGTATACAACTTCCAGGATACTCCCTCCAGGTATACACCTCCAGGTATTACAACCCCCCAGGTATACAACTTCCAGGTATACTCCTCCAGGTATACAACCTCCAGGTATACAACTTCCAGGTATACTCCTCCAGGTATACAACCTCCAGGTATACAACTTCCAGGTATACTCCCTCCAGGTATACAACCTCCAGGTATACAACTTCCAGGTATACTCCCTCCAGGTATACAACCTCCAGGTATACAACTTCCAGGTATACAACCTCCAGGTATAAAACTTCCAGTATACTCCCTCCAGGTATACAACCTCCAGTATACAACTTCAGGTATAACTCCCTCAGGTATACAACTTCCAGGTTACTCCCTCAGGTATACAACCTCAGGTATACAAATTCCAGGTATACTCCCTCCAGGTATACAACCTCCAGGTATACAACTTCCAGGTATACTCCCTCCAGGTATACAACCTCCAGGTATACTCCCTCCAGGTATACAACCTCCAGGTATACAACTTCCAGGTATACTCCCTCCAGGTATACAACCTCCAGGTATGCAACTTCCAGTATACTCCCTCCAGGTATACAACTTCCAGGTATACTCCCTCCAGGTATACAACCTCCAGGTATACAACTTCCAGGTATACTCCCTCCAGCTATACAACCTCCAGGTATACAACTTCCAGTATACTCCCTCCAGGTATACAACCTCCAGGTATACAACTTCCAGGTATACTCCCTCCAGGTATACAACCTCCAGGCATACAACTTCCAGGTATACTCCCTCCAGGTATACAACCTCCAGGTATACAACTTCCAGGTATACTCCCTCCAGGTATACAACCTCCAGGTATACAACTTCCAGGTATACTCCCTCAGGTATACAACTCCAGGTATACAACTTCCAGGTGTACAACCTCCAGGTATACAACTTCCAGTATACTCCCTCCAGGTATACAACCTCCAGGTATACAACTTCCAGGTATACTCCCTCCAGGTATACAACCTCCAGGTATACAACTTCCAGGTATACTCCCTCCAGGTATACAACCTCCAGGTATACAACTTCCAGTATACTCCCTTCAGGTACACAACCTCCAGGTATACAACTTCCAGGTATACTCCTCCAGGTATACAACTCCAGGATACAACCTCCAGGTATACTCCTCCAGGTATACAACTCCAGGTATATCACAATCTCAGGTATACTCCCTCCAGGTATACAACCTCCAGGTATACAACTTCCAGGTATACTCCCTCCAGGTATACAACCTCCAGGTATACTCCCTCCAGGTATACAACCTCCAGGTATACAACTTCCAGGTATACTCCCTCCAGGTATACAACCTCCAGGTATGCAACTTCCAGTATACTCCCTCCAGGTATACAACTTCCAGGTATACTCCCTCCAGGTATACAACCTCCAGGTATACAACTTCCAGGTATACTCCCTCTCCAGGTATACAACCTCCAGGTATACAACTTCCAGGTATACTCCCTCCAGGTATACAACCTCCAGGTATACAACTTCCAGGTATACTCCCTCCAGGTATACAACCTCCAGGTATACAACTTCCAGGTATACTCCCTCCAGGTATACAACCTCCAGGTATACAACTTCCAGGTATACTCCCTCCAGGTATACAACCTCCAGGTATACAACTTCCAGGTATACAACCTCCAGGTATACAACTTCCAGTATACTCCCTCCAGGTATACAACCTCCAGGTATACAACTTCCAGGTATACTCCCTCCAGTGTATACAACCTCCAGGTTTTTATACAACTTCCAGGTATCTCCTCCAGGTATACAACTCCAGGTATACAACTTCCAGTATACTCCCTTCAGGTACACAACCTCCAGGTATACAACTTCCAGGTATACTCCATCCAGGTATACAACCTCCAGGCATACAACTTCCAGGTATACTCCTACCAGGTATACAACCTCATAGCTATACAACTTCCAGGTATACTCCCTCAGGTATACAATCTCCAGGTATACAACTTCCAGGTATACTCTTCCAGGTATACAAACCTCCAGGTATACAAACTTCCAGGTATACTCCCTCCAGGTATACAACCTCCAGGTATACAACTTCCAGGTATACTCCCTCCAGGTATACAACCTCCAGGTATACAACTTCCAGGTATACTCCTCAGGTATACAACCTCCGGGTATACAACTTCAGGTATACTCCCTCCAGGTATACAACCTCCAGGTTATTAAAAACGGAGTATACAAACTTCCAGGTATACTCCCTCCAGTTATACAACCTCCAGGTATTCTCCAGGTATACAACCTCCAGGTATACAACTTCCAGATATACTCCCTCCAGTTATACAACCTCCAGGTATTCTCTAGGTATACAACCTCCAGGTATTCTCCAGGTATACAACCTCCAGGTATACTCCAGGTATACTCCCTCCAGTTATACAACCTCCAGGTATACAACCTCCAGGTATACAACTTCTAGATATACTCCCTACAGGTATACAAACCTCCAGGATACAACATTCCAGTATCCTCCTACAGGTATATAACCTCATGGATTCTCAGGTATACATCTTCCAGATATCCTCCTACAGGTATATAACACTCCAGGTATTCTCCAGGTACTACAACTTCCAGATTATCCTACTACAGGTATAACACTCCAGGTATTCTCCAGTATACAACCTCCAGGTATGACTCCAGGTATACACTTCCAGGTATACTCCTACAGGTATACCCCAAAACCTCCAGTATTTCAGGTTACAACTTCCAGATAGTCCTTACGGTTATAACCTCCGGTATACAACATTCCAGATATACTCCCTACAGGTATATAACCTCAGGTATTCTCAGGTATACTTCAGGTATACAACCTCCAGGTTTTCAGGTACTACAACTTCAGATATCTACCTACGGTTAAACCTCAGGTATTCTCAGGTATAAACTTCCAGATATACTCCCTAACAGGTATACAACTCAGGTATTCTCCACAGGTTAAGTACTTCAGGTATACAACCTCCAGGTATTCTCCAGGTATCAACCTCCGGTATACAGCTCCAAAGTGACTTTTTCCCTGGTGTCTGTAATATAATAATTAATAATAATAATTAATAATAATATAATAATATTTATTTCTAGAGTGAGCTGATGCAACTGATAAGAGCCATAGTGACACCATGACGATATGCTATATAGAAAGTACCTTGTTATGTTGAGATTCACTGCTAATTATGTCAGTTTTGTGCCAGGATGTGCCACACCAGTCCACTAACACCAGGAGGACCCAACCAGTCCATACACCCAGGATGTTTCCCTTCCCCCACCTGACCCTACACCAGTCCTAACTTAACTACCAGGAGTGACCTAACCTAGTCACTACACCCAGGATGTGACCACACCAGTCCTACTAACAACCCAGGTTGTGACCACCCACCACATAACACCAGGATGTGACCACACCATCTACTGTCTTATGCAGGTCATTCTGGGTCTGCTGGATCCTACTGTTTCTGCGAGGTCCTTCGGGTCACTGGACGTGGGAGGTCGGGCAACAAGAGGAGGATCTACTGTGCCGTCACTATAACATAATATACCGACAACTTGAAGATTAATACAAGTACAACAGTTGGGTATATTTATTGATGGAACGTTGCGCCTACACAGTAGACTTCTTCAGTCAAATCCAGAGCCAGCAGGTGTAGTGAAATGATGTAATGAGGTGGTCAGTCCCTCAGCCTGGAGAACAGCCCCTAACCAGCATCAAGGGACTTTCCCTTGAGGGGACCTTATTTATAGGAGCTTTATAAAACTGACTGTATATAGAGCTTTATAAGAGAACTGATTGTATGTAGAGGAGCTTTATAAGGAAACTGACTCTATAGAGCCTTATAAGGACTGACTAGAGGATCTTTATACGAGCTTTGTAGAGGTTTAAAAAGAGTCGACTGTATATTATTATTATTATTAAAAAGGGGGAAGCGCTAAACCCGGAGGATTATGCAGCGCCTGGGGGGGGGGGATGTGGAAGGCATTCAGGCTTAATTCGGGGAACTTGAGCACAGATCCAATTCCCTAAATCAAGGGGCCCTCACAAATCAAGGAACCTTCTTGATGGGAAATCGACTGTATAGATTATTTATCAAGGGGAAGCACTAAACCCCTAGGATTAACGGCCTGTGGGGGGAAGAGTGGAGGTTTCAGGGTTAATTCAGAGATCTGGAGCACAGATCCAGTTCCCTCGATCAAGAGCCCCTCACCAACATCAAGGAACATTCCTATAGAGCTTTATAAGAGCTGACCATATAGAGCTTTATAAGTGCTGACTGTATAGAGCTTTATGAGTTGATTATATATTATAATAATGGAGAAGCACTAAACCCATAGGATTACACAGTGCATGTGGGGGGGGGGGGAAGGTATTCAGGCTTAATTCAGGGAACTGGAGCACAAATCCAATTCCCTAGATCAAGAGCCCCTCACCAGTGCCTAGGAACCTCCCCTGAGGGACACAAAGTAAAGTCTACAGCCTCCTTTATCTGAGCGATAAAACTGTTTCACTTTCGTTTCCGACACAATTTAGGATAGTTACACCTAAAGCGCTGAAATAAAAAACAATAGTTTAAATGAATTTTTATTCCCATAAACTCTCTATACAGTGTTATTTTTTGTATATGCGACTGAAAACGTACATCGAAAATTTAATAGCATGCTGAAAGGCCTCCACAGCATGTAGTATTCAATCTTTGATGAACTTTTTTATAAGTCACGCTTGCAAAAGAAAAAAAAAATCACACTATATGGAGAAGCTTTATAAGAGAATTTACTGTACCAGTTTAACAAAGTTTGACCTAAAATACTAAAATAAGAGAATTATGTCACTGTATTTTTAACATAAATTTAAGAAAGTTTGACCTAAATTAACAGAATTATATCACTTAAATTTTTAACAAATTTAACCCTTAAACTGTCCAAACGTAGATCTACGTATTTTTTTACATTGTTTCTTATGGAGAAAATCAAGGTCAGAGCACTACGTGCGTAAACGTAGATCTGCGTTTGGACAGTTTAAGGGTTAAGAAAGTTTGACCTAAAGTAAGAAAATTCTCAGTTTTTAACAATAATTTAAAAAGTTTGATACTAAAGTATCAAAATTCTCATTTAAATAAAAAAAAAGCAGGTTTGTATTTGATTATCAACACAAAAAATAATCTTTTATAAGTAAAATTAAGATTAATGACAATTCAAAGTTTATTTAATCATGTTTACATGATTTTTTATATTTTTATTATAAACAATATTTTTAAAGCATAAAAAATGCTCATTACACAGCAATTCAAAATAAAAAAAATTGATGTGTAAGGAACAGTTTTAAGTTTAAAATCTGTTTCAAACGTGTTCAAAACCTGTTCAAGACTTGTGATATACAGATGACTGCAAAATATAATGATTACTGCCCCCAACAACAGTAAAACTCTCACAAAATTGCAATGGCATAATTACAAACAAATCATTCCATGGCGGGGATTAAACTTGTGGCGAGTGAGTCGTAAAACTCCAGGTCAGTGGCTCATGCACTGGCCTGGAGTTTTACGACTCATTCCACACAAGTTCAACCCCCACTCGTGGCGTGGTTTGTAAAATTCTGATTTAGCGGACTAACAGGATAGTTACAGGTGACTGCTATTTCTAATAATTTAGTTATAAGGATGCCTAAAATGCTCTGTATAATAAGGGACTTTCTATATAGTAGTAATACAGTGGGCCCCCGGTTAACGATATTTTTTCACTCCAGAAGTATGTTCAGGTGCCAGTACTGACCGAATTTGTTCCCATAAGGAATATTGTGAGGTAGATTAGTCCATTTCAGACCCCCAAACATACATGTACAAACGCACTTACATAAATACACTTACATAATTGGTCGCATTCGGAGGTGATTGTTACGCGGGGGTCCACTGTATACATCAATCACCTTAAATGTATAATACAGAGACTCCCATACATACAAACATTCGTGCTGCAAACTTTCGATAATATGAACATTTTGCAGGAAGCGCCGAGATGCAAAAAATACATAGTAAGTTACTTTAGCAGGACTGTTCTTGTGTGTGCCTGTGCTCTCTCCACAAATTCAGTGTTACTTGCAATTTAGAATACCCCCAATATATTTGAGTTAAGCACAAAAGGGGTGGTGATGCAGGTGGTAGTGCTAACAAAAGTGGACATAATAATGTATTTTTCCTGTGTTCACATACGTATATGTTTAAACTAGGTTTTAACATACTCAGTGTTCATACGTACACACACTACACTACTGTATAATACTGTGTACATACATAGACTTATGAACGACAGCTTGGAACTGAACCTATTTGTAAGCAGGGGAGTGACTGTATACAATATTCCAATTTATAGAGATAAAGTTTGTATTATAGTTGATCAAAATGGGTCTTTTACTGTGATCACAACAATAGTGGCAAATTTCACAACAAACGGACTTTAACCGTTTTTTTTAATTGGCCAAAACAGCGGAGTCAGTCCCGTATTTCCCAAGCCCGTTAAATGAAGTTCATCTACAAGAAAACCCTAAACAATGTAAAGCGCAGTGAATGTTTTTTTTTATCCTTCCACGCCACACAAGCGCTTCATTACCATTAACTGCGTTTACCCGGGCACAGCAACACTGTGCCCCCCTAGGCACAATGTTACCTGGGGGGGAGGGGGGCCAAGAAAAGCCAAGAAAATTCAAGTGGTGCCCCTCGTGTTTCAAGAGACAAACCGTTTGTCGAGGAAACAACAGAGCACAGGATGGTTATGTTGAAGACATGTTTGTAATGTGTCTGAGTAGTTTTAAGTGTTTTTGTGTTCCCTAAATTTCTCTTTGTCCCTTTAAAGACTTTAAGTGCCCCCCTAAAATGTTTTAGTGTCCTAAAATATTTTTAAAGTGTCCCCCTGAAATATTCTTTAAGTGCCCCCCTAAAATGTTTTGGTGTCCTAAAATATTTTTAAAGTGTCCCCCTGAAATATTCTTTAAGTGCCCCCCTAAAATGTTTTGGTGTCCTAAAATGTTCTTTAAGTGCCCCCTAAAAGTATCTTTTTAAAGTGCACTTCTGTAAATAAAAAGGTTTGTAACTTGAAATATTTGAAAGATGGGGACCTGGTGGTTAATTCAGAATTAACCTAATCTGACAGATATGATGGTGGATCTGATATGATCTGATGCTCAGAAAATGATGGGCTACACGAGGGTCATTAAGGCTAAGTGGTTGGTTTGGGGTTTAAAGTCTATCTACTACACCAGGGTCATTAAGACTGGCTGGTTGGTTAATGGGGTTTAAAGTCTATCTACTACACCAGGGTCATTAAGACTGGTTGGTTGGTTAATGGGGTTTAAAGTCTATCTACTACACCAGGGTCATTAAGACTGGTTGGTTGGTTAATGGGGTTTAAAGTCTATCTACTACATCAGGGTCATTAAGACTGGTTGGTTGGTTAATGGGACTTAAAGTCCATCTACTACAAGAGGGTCATTAAGACTGCAGGTCACCTGTATACCACCAGTTAAGAATAATACCTAAAATATCAAATAATGTAAACCAGTGTATATGTTGCATATACATCATACTACATATATACACAATGTATATCCACACTTCTTGGTGTGGTGTATATACACAAAGTTAAAACATCTATCTGTATATACACTAATGCCCCTCAGTTTATATGTGCTGATAAACATCTCACAATGTATATAAACATCCCTCAATGTATATACAATTATAAACATCTCTGTATGAACTGATAAATACCTCAGTGTATATACAGTGACCAACACCTCTCAATGTATATACATTGACCAACACCTCTCAGTGTATATACACTGACTTCAGCTCATTTTTCAGTATACCTGGAGTATACCTCTGAATACCTGGAATATATCCCTAAATACCTGGGGTATACCCATATTTAAAAATTCCCAAAATACACGCTAAAAAAAATTTTTTTCGGAAAAAATGTAAACTACATGCGGTTCTCTTATAAAACCCCTCCATAATCTTTTTTTTTTTTTGGAAATGCGATTGAAAAAGTGCATTCGAAATTGAACAGAAGGTATTTTGAAGGCCTTTCAATGTGCCATTCAATTTTGGATGGGCATTTTCAGTCGCCTTTGCAAAAGACGCAATATATGGAGGAGCTCAAAAAAGAATCGAATGTATAGAATTTTTTTTTCAGGGCGTAAATTCGGAATTTTTGAATAAAAAATTTTCTGGAGAACGTCAAAATTTCCATTACTATATGGAAAATATCTGTTCATTAAAAAAAAAAAATCCATGCTGTACAATACAGATTTTTCCAAAATTTTGAAATTCCAAAAATGAGAGAAAATTCCTCGTCCAAATTTTTGAGCAATTTTCTGACATTTACAAAAATTAAAATTTTAATATTTTTTTAAAACTCTTGTATTTTTTTGTGAGTAAATTAGAATAAAAACTTTTAAAAAAAATTTTAATTTTGAAAAGAGACCATAATGTATATAATGTATTACATAGGTCTATGCTAATACACAGAATGAAAATAAACAGTAATTTTGAAAATCCCCATCCCAAAAAAAATTGGAGTTACAGATATCGTAACAGTAATTTTAAAAATATTGGCAGTTTGGAGGGATATGTTGTGTATCTTTATACGTATATGCTTCTAAACTGTTGTGTTCTGAGCACCTCTGCAAAAGCAGTGATAATGTGTGAGTGTGGTGAAAGTGTTGAATGATGATGAAAGTATTTTCTTTTTGGGGATTTTCTTTCTTTTTTGGGTCACCCTGCCTCGGTGGGAGATGGCCGACTTGTTGAAAAAACAACCCCCCCCCCCCAAAAAATTCCTTTTTTTTTTGAGTAACAGATACCGTAATGGTAATTTTGAAATTATTATTATTACTATAGTCATACCTAAGCACTAAACCCATAAGGGTTATATAGCACTGCTGGTCATTTTGAAAATACCTCCCAAAATTTAATTTTTGAGCTACAGATATCGTAACAGTAATTTTAAAAACACCAAAAAAATTGTTTCTGAGTTACAGATATTGTAACAGTAATATTAAAAATACCATAATAACTGTTTATGAGTTACGAATATTGTAACAGTAATTTTTAAAATACAAAAAAATTTGTTTTTGAGTTAGAGATATTGTAATAAATTATCGTCCTGGCTCAAGACAGACAGTTCAATATACCACAGTCGGATATTTTTATATTTTTGTCACGGCTGTTGTAATAGACAGAGCGGAGGATGCCCACGCCATTGGTGACTGTTCCAAAGCTGTTGTCATCCGTGGTCTCTCCAGCGTAGTAGAGATAGATCCTGAAGCCAGCCAGTTGATAGGTTCCATCGCCGATGGGGATGGCGCACATCAACCCTGGGTGGATCCTCCTTGTGTTGGTCATGGCTTGGCAGTACGTCAATTCCGGCACGCTGAGGCTGGTCATCAGCGGAGTGAGGATTCCGTCGTCGTCGTCGTCCGCTCCTATCTCCTCCCCTCCGATGACCTCCACTATCTGGTGATTATCCTCGTTGATCTCGTAGATGAAATCGATGGGCAACCCTTTGTAGCTGACCCCAAACTTGCCAGTGCAGCAGTGGAGGAAATTGTGAGACTGCAGTTCATAGAGTTGCACCGAGAAGAAGATCCGGCCTTGCACCTTTCCGTCGAGCTCGATGTCGAAGAATCCTCTTCCACTGTATCCGTTAGGACTAAGGCTGTCAAACTGGAATGGAACGAGATTGACAAAAATAATTCTGGCCTATAGGCACTGCCTATATATATACCCAATTCCCTTATAAAGCTCTACTATATAGTTAGTGCTCTTATAAAGCGCCACTATATACAGTCAGTGCTCTTATAAAGCTCCACTATATACAGTCAGTGCTCTTATAAAGCTCCACTATATACAGTCAGTGCTCTTATAAAGCTCCACTATATACAGTCAGTGCTCTTATAAAGCTCCATATAACAGCATGCCTTATAGAGCTCCACTATATACAGTCAGTGCTCTTATAAAGCTCCACTATATACAGTCAGTGCTCTTATAAAGCTCCACTATATACAGTCAGTGCTCTTATAAAGCTCCACTATATACAGTCAGTGCTCTTATAGAGCTCCACTATATACAGTCAGTGCTCTTATAAAGCTCCACTATATACAGTCAGTGCTCTTTAAACTCCATATATACAGTCAGTGCTCTTATAAAGCTCTACTATATAGTTAGTGCTCTTATAAAGCTCCACTATATACAGTCAGTGCTCTTATAAAGCTCCTCTATATACAGTCAGTGCTCTTATAAAGCTCCACTATATACAGTCAGTGCTCTTATAAAGCTCCACTATATACAGCCAGTGCTCTTATAAAGCTCCACTATATACAGTCAGTGCTCTTATAAAGCTCCACTATATACAGTCAGTGCTCTTATAAAGCTCCACTATATACAGTCAGTGCTCTTATAAAGCTCCTCTATAGTGTGTGTTTTTTGAGAAAGCATTTGAAAAAGACAAATAAAAAATCTCATAATTTACTACTTTGACTTTTCAGTTCTGGATGTATGTACTTGTTTCAATCGCATTTGCGTCACTCACACTACACAGGTCTTTACGGGGAAGTTGACTGTGTCTTCACAAGAGAGCTGTAAACCCATAAGGGCCGCATGGGAAAATCATCGACCCACTAATACAGTGCCGAGAATGGGTGGAAATTATCATAATATAAAAATAATAATTAGTAATAATAATAATAATAGTAATTTTAATAATAGTAATAATAATAATAATTAACAATGATTAAAAATTTATAATTACATAATAATAATAATAATAATGGTCACCAGGAAGCATTAAACCCACAAGGGTCATGCAGCTTCCAAGAAATGGAAAACTAGGCTGGGGTGTCATACCCCCCCAACTCTGGAGAAAAGGTTGAACCATTAACAATCATTAGCAATGATGACAGGACATTGAAGGAAGGTTGATGCATGCAGTCGATGAAGCAAACTGACATCCGTTGAAATATTATTACAATCATGGGGAGCACTAAATCCATAGGGGTCATACAATGTCATGGGGAATGGGAGGTATTCAGGTTTGATTCAAAGAAGTGAAGCAATGTCCATTAAGAAATAACAACAACAGACGGTCCTCAACTTACGATGGCGTTACGTTCTGACGAACTCATCGTAAGTTGAAAATATTGTAAGCTGAATATAAATATATGCTAAATAAATAAGTAAATAAACAAATAATAACTGTAGCTAACTAAATACCAATATTGAAAAGCCAATAAACAAATGCAAGTTAGGGGCTTACCACCTTTGTGCTGCGTAATTATCTTAAGATTCATCTCTAAAGTAATTGCTGCCACACCATCATAATATTGAAATATTGTACGTCAAGGACCATCTGTACTAGCATTGTACACCTGTGACAGGTCATGACTACCATACCTGTGTCACAGGCAGGTGTACATTGCATACTAGTATACACTGCAGTATACAAACAAATTGTAATACAGCTTCTCCTCACTTAACGACGGAGTTCCGATCCTAAGACCATGTCAATAAACGAATTCGTCGCTAAGTGAGGAGCATACTATAATGGCAGTGAGTTTGAGTCAACCATCTTTCCTTTGTACAAACTTGACATTGTCAAATACAAATTCATACAGTGGTGCCCCGAATTTCGAACAGCTCCCAACTTAACAATTATGTAAGTGTATTTTTGTAAGTGCTTTTATAAGTGCAGTTTTGGGGATCTGAAATGGACTAATTTAATTTACATTATTCCTTATGGGAACAAATTCGTTCGGTAACGGCATTCGAACTCCGTTCTGGAAGGAATTAAGTTCGTAACTTGAGGTACCACCGTATCATGATAAAATAAACTTGTCATTGTCAAATACAAATTTACATTTGTATTTGTGTATATTGTAGAGGGTTTTATCAAACTATACGCCCTCTCAACCTTGTGATATACTCACCTACATTTTGCATACTGCATTAAGGACATAAAACTGTATTGTATTATACACAACTCTCAAGAAATAGAGGAAATTCACCAAGACTCAAATATTCATCTCATTCATCAAAAAACTTAATATTTATACAAAGACATAAAAATAGTTTTTATTCTACTTACAGTTATGTGTATTTAATTTTCAATGCTGTACAACAATGTTCAAAAATCAATTTTTTTTTTTTAACCCGAAAAGGCCAAACTATACAGGGGAAACCCTAAAAAATCGAACTCCCCCAAACCAAACCCAAATTATGTAAGGTATTTTTGAAAGTGTTTTAAAGTGTATTTTTGAGGGTTTGAAATGAAAATCAAATTTTTAATTTTTCCTGAGGAATAAATTCATTCGGTAAAAGGGAAATTTGGCAGCCTTCTCGACGAAGAAAATTTTTTTTTTGAGGTTCCCCCTGTATATACATTTTTACCGCTAGTGCCCAAAAGATATAACGTTTTATGTGTCCTACATTTAACATTTCCCGATAAGCCTGGTCGCCTAGACATGGAGAATGGTGGAGCACTCACTGTGCACCTATTAAAAAAATTGGAGATGCCTGGGCCCATATGCCTTTTTTCCTATTAACCCTTAAACGTCCAAACGTAATAACTTTTTCAACACTGAAAATATGTAAAAAAATGTAGGTCTTTTTTTTTTTTTACTTTGAAAACGGTTAAAAAAACTTTTATCCCAATTTTTTTTTTATATTTGAAAATACTAAAAAAAAAAAAAAAATCTACTTTTGTAGCTACGAATTTGAAGTCAATCGTTTGGGGCCGTTTAAGGGTTTTAAAAAAAACAATGTTTTTTTTCTCAAAAAGTTGGGGCAGTACGGTAGTGAACGTATATGTACGTTTGGACCGTTTACGGGTTAAGCAGGGCGACCTGAGAGGAAATACTTTTACCATCGTTTGTTCAGTCACTGTTTTGTCAGAAGTGTGCTGGTATTACACCTCATTCCTATCTTCCCGTTCAGAGTACAGGTACTGTACTTCCCACCTCCAGTACTGTAACATTCTCACTCATCCTTCAGAGTACAGGTACTGTACTTCCCACCTCCAGTACTGTAACATTCTCACTCATCCTTCAGAGTACAGGTACTGTACTTCCCACCTCCAGTACTGTAACATTCTCACTCATCCTTCAGAGTACAGGTACTGTACTTCCCACCTCCAGTACTGTAACATTCTCACTCATCCTTCAGAGTGAAGGTACTGTACTTCACACTTCCAGGACTCAAGTCCAGCCATAAACTGCAAACACCCCACCCTCAATGACCTACCCTCCTTCAATGATCCACCCACCCTCAATTTGATATAAAATGGTCATTCAAATTAAAAATGTCATACTGTTAACAGTTTTGGTAACTGTTAAGCGAGCGGAACAATGAGTCCACAGTCGCTAATTAACGCTTCTCTGAAATTGCCCTTAACTTCACGATGAACTGACTGGATAACTGCGAGACCACTCGTGACACTGCCAAAAGCGTAATCATAGGTGAAGCCAACCATGTCTTCCAGCATTATCTGAAAGGCCGAGCTTGAATGATCTGCGGATAGCCGGTGATGAGTCCGGGGTATATGTTGCTGTTGTAGCTACCCCCGTCTGTGATTCCCTCGACGAGGGGAGGACAGTCTTGGCCGTTGGGGAAGGGCCCTAGTAGCACTATGGATAATTTGGGTTTGCCCTCTCCGATATCTGACGATTTGAGTTGCAAGCCCTTAAAGCATGGGCCCAGAGCTCCTGAACACAGCAACAAGAAATTCTGGCTCCGTGGAGTAACTCCAAACATCGTCATGTACACGTTGCCTTCCAGGCGCTGCTGGATCGTCACGTCAAGAAATGCTGACGGTTTATTTGGAGACATCCCTGCCGTGACGCTATCCAACTGCAAGAGAGAGCGAGAAACATTGTGCAAGATTTTTGGAGACTATTTTTTTTATTTTTAAATAGTACCATATCATCTACTTCCTACTGAGGTAAAGTGACCCAAAAAATATTTGTCTTGCTGGAAGTGTCCAGATCACACGACCCTTAAATTTAAATCACAACATTCTCACTCGTCCTTCAGAGTACAGGTACTGTACTTCCCACCTCCAGTACTGTAACATTCTCACTCATCCTTCAGAGTACCGGTACTGTACTTCCCACCTCCAGTACTGTAACATTCTCACTCGTCCTTCAGAGTACAGGTACTGTACTTCCCACCTCCAGTACTGTAACATTCTCACTCATCCTTCAGAGTACAGGTACTGTACTTCCCACCTCCAGTACTGTAACATTCCCCCACTCGTCCTTCAATTTCAGGTACGTACTTTTCCCCCCTCCAGTACTGTAACATTCTCACTCTCCTTCAGAGTACAGGGACTGTACTTCCCACCTCCAGTACCCGTAACATCTCACTCTCCTTCAGAGTACAGGACTGTACTTCCCACCTCCAGTACTGTAACATTCTCACTCATCCTTCAGAGTCAGGTACTGTACTTCCCCCCCTCCAGTACTGTAACATCCCCACTCGTCCTTCAAGTACAGGTACTGTACTTCCCACCTCCAGGACTGTAAAAATTCTCACTCTCCTTCAGAGTACAGGACTGTACTTCCCACCCTTTCCCGTACTGTAACATCCCCACTCTCCTTCAGAGTACGGACTGTACTTCCCACCTCCAGTACTGTAACATCCCCACTTTTCCTTCCAGAGTACAGGTACTGACT